CGTGGGCGGATTGCTCTGGACGTGGTCAGGAGTTCGGAAGACCAGCCTGAGCAACGGACGCGAGACCCCGTCTCTGACTGATAGAATAGAAAGAAAGATTTAATGGCCAACAATATATATGAAAAAGTAGCCGGGCATGGCGGCGCATGCGCTGTAGTCCCAGCTAGACTGTCGGTTTGTTGAGGCTGATGAGGAGGGATCGTTAGGGCCAGGAGTGTGGTAGAGGTTTGGCTGTGATGGCCGGGCGCGGGCAGCGGCCCCTGCTCGCCGCGGGAGCCCGTTTCCGGGGTCCGGTCGCGCCCGGCCGCGGCGCCCTCCGCCCGGGGACGACGGACGGCGGGAAGGGTTGGGAGTCCGGGTCGCGGGATGCGGGCTCGGCGGGCGGGCGGGCGGCAGGTGCGTGGGCTTGTTGTCGGTGTCTCCGGGTCAGAACGGGTCCAAGTTTCCTTGCGCCTCCAGCGACGCTGCTGCAGTTGCTGGGACCCTGCACGTCGGCGCCTCACCCGAGGGAGAGTTTTGATCCCTCTCGGGGATCGCTTTGTGCCAGTTCAGTGGGGTGGGACCGGTGGTTACGTGAGTAGGAGGAAGGTAAGGGGGCAGTTAGGCTTGTGGTGGTAGCCTGCAGTCACCCTGGGTAGCAGAATTAGCTGATTTGGTTTGCAAAATTTGAAAGTTCCTCAGGTTGCAAAGTAACTGTGCTCGTCTTTGGGGGGATTTGTTTGTTTCCTTTTATACGTTCTACTGTAAATGTTTCTTGCTCTTAAGGAAATGTTGCCATTGAGTACAGAACCTGTCCAACAGCAAGCGGTGGATCCTACGTCTGTCCTGGTTTCCTTAGAAAGAGTCCCCTCCCTGCGTCTTTGGAGTGGTTGCTGCGGTGCCTTTTTCTGGTGTGTCTCAGGGTTTGGGACCTTGCATTAGAAACAGCCTGGGGTCCTGCGACAGAGGTCAGGTGCAGCCAGGTGAGGGTCTCCTGAGTGCAGGGTGCTTGGAGCTTGCTGAAGTGTTACCTTCCCAAGTCTGGGAGAGTTTGCATCTGGGCAGAGGCTTCTCATCCAAACCCCTTATGGCATCGTCCCCCATTATACAGATGAGTAAGTTGAGGTCGAGGAAGTGCCTTGCTCACACTCTCACAGCCAGTAAGTAGTGCAGGAGTCCGTGCTTCTCAACCAGGGGAGCAGAATCTGAGAACAGGTTAAAATGCAGCCCCTGCAGACCTCTCTGCTGTGCTGGCATACCCAGGGCTCCTGTTCTCTGCATGTGTTTGTGCCTTACCTGTCTCTAATAGTTGAGGGTTATTTTTTGTCTTTACATCATAAAACTTTCCTGCTCTGAAGCATCTGGTGACACTTAGCTGCTGCTTAAGTACCTATTAATTTGGATAGGCAGATTTGATTGTAAGTGGGGTTTTGAGTGAGTGGTTCTGTGTTGTGATTAAATTATAGCAGATTGGCTGCTGTCTCTCGGATGCTGGGGGCCGATAAGGGTGCAGGCGAGGGTCCTGGAGACCAGGCTTCTGTCTGGGACTGTGGTGTGCACCTGTGGCTCTTTGCTCTGACGGTGCTGTGTCTCTTGTGAGACCAGCCTCTGGTACTGGGGTGCTTTGGGGCAGAGGATGTTCAGGAAGCAGGCAGGCCTTGGCAGGAGGTACAGAGGATCTCACAGGACCACCCCTCATTGCCTTTCATACCTGGGACGACCACAGTTGGATGCTGGGAGAGGCAGCCATGCCAGGGTCCCCACATCCTTGCACAGGCCAGCTCCTCTGGAGCACTGTGAGCTTTCCCGTGACAGTACCTGTGGCTCCTTGGTGTCTGAAGTGCTGGCCTGGGTGATGTGTAGCCCCATTCAGACTCTGGGGACCTTATGCTTCACTGAAACCCTCACTTAGCAGGCTGCTTTGCATTGGACAGGGTGGGGCCACAGCCTGCTCTCGGGGAGCCCTGCCTAGGGTTGGGGGGACTCCTAGGGCCCTGGGGTAGGGTGGAGCTGTCTTAGAAGAGCCCAAGGGGTTTGAGAAACGTGGAAATAAAGAGTTCCAGACCTTGGGTTCCTGCTGTCACCTCCCAGCCGAGAGACAGCCTTCAGAACAAGCCCCTGGTGCTCCCTGCTGCAGCCCTGCCCTCAGGACTGCCCCTTGCCCCTGCCTGGGCCCTTCTGCTCTTGGGCCAGGCCAGTCATCTCCGTTGGCTCTGCCTTGGCGGATTCCCGCCTTATCACCCTCCTTTCTGTCTCAGCCCTCAGCACTTCCCCACCTGGGAGCCCATGTCCTCAGGCTGCCCCCTGCTTCTTAAGAGGGTGTGCAGGGAACTTTGGGGAAAGGGATGCTCTGGGAGGCATGAGCCTTAGCAGTCACGCCTTCTCGGACAGGCGCACCTCCCCTGCTAGGAAGGAATGGGCGAGCCACAGCTCTAGGGTCTGTGGGGTAAAGAGAAATCCCAGTTTGGGCCCAGCCTGGTGTTACTACCTTAGACCCAACCTTGCAGTTGGTCGGGGAGGTAGGAAGCTGTAACTGCGCGCTCCTCCGCCACGCGCTGCCCGACACCCACGTCCTGCTGCAGGACTTTGCTTCTCTACCTTCCCTTTCTCTTAGGTCACTAGGGAGTGTCCAAAATTATTGAAATGCGCCATGTCCGATGGGTAGTCTGGCGGCTTGGAGTAATCTCACCCAAGGGCTCCTGGACCCTGGGGGTCCTGGGGTGACACTGGGGACAGCCCTGGTTTCTGGGGTGGTGGTCCTAATCCCCTCCTTCCACTTTGCCAACTTCTTGGGGAAAGTCATCCTAGCGCCACCTAAGACCCAGGTGTGCCCATGGGGGCCGGAGGGTTGCCTTTCTGACAAGTGCCAGGTGACCAGCTGTCGTGAGAGCAGCTGTGCTGCAGGGGGTGCAGCACCCACCACGGGTCAGGCTGTGCAGGGGTCTCGGGCTGTTCGCTCCATCTGGGCGGGCGGAAGGTGCGATCTGCATCACCAGGCACTGTGGTCATGCCGGGCAGGCTGGGCCGGGGCTGCAGCAGGAAAGTAGCCAACACCAAGGGAGGCTGTGCCCTCAGGGGGCGAGTGACTCAGGGTCTCCTTTGTCATCTCTGAGGGTGGTGCAGTGGAGGTGCCCCCTGGGAGCCAGCCTCGAGGCAGGGTCCTCCAACCCCCGCAGAGGACCCCGGTGCTGGCGAGGGGCCCAAGGTAGTGCTCAGGTGTTGGGCCCTGCTCCTCTGGGGAGCAGAAAGGAGGCCTGTCACCCAGGACCCTCGGGAACTGGGAGGGCTGCTGTCCAGCCCTTGGGAGAAATAGTTGCTCGTCTTGAAGCTTTTTTGGTGCTTAAACTCTTGACTTGGGGCACCTTCAGTGGTTCCACGGACTTTGAAGACCAACACACACACTTAGGTTTGAATTCTCCAGCAAGTTTTGTCACCTGAGCGCCGTTTCTCTTGGGTGAAGGATGTGGATGGCAGCTGGTGGGGTTGGCAGTCGAGGGTGGTGTGGAGGCTGCTGGCCCCTGCCCACTGGGGCTGCAGTGCTGAGACCGTCACCCTGGGCCTGCTTGCTGAGTGCAAGGGCTCTGAGCCTGAGCAGCCCTCCCTGAAGGGCCTGGCTGTCCCCGGCAGACACATGGTGGGGCCTGAGGCGTTGCGTCCACAGGTTCAACTGTTCTCCACCCTGTTTTCAAGATTAATGGCCATCCCGGGCACGGTGGCTCACGCCTGTGATCCCAGCACTCCGGGAGGCCGAGGCTGGAGGATCCGTTAAGCTCAGGAGTTTGAGACCAGCCTTAGCAAGAGCGAGACCCTGTCTCTACTCAAAAAAAAAAAAAAAAAAGAAAGAAAGAAATTAGCTGTACGACTAAAATATATATACATATATATATATAAAAAAAAAGTCATCCAGGCATGGTGGCGCATACCTGTAGTCCCAGCTACTCGGGAGGCCGAGGCAGCAGGATTGCTTGAGCCCAGGAGATTGAGATTGCTGTGAGCTAGGCTGATGTCACGGCACTCTAGCCAGGGAAACAGAGTGAGACTCTGTCTCCAAAAAAAAAAAGAAGAAGAAGAAGAATGGCCATCCTCCTGGCCGGGCCTGAATCTGAACTCTGAGCCCTGATTCTGAGCTGGGGACCCCCACATCTCATGCACCTGGAGGGCAGTGCTCCATTCCCAACCCTCCCTGGTCTCAGGCCAGCGCTCGGGACGTTCCTGCCTGGTCCCTGCGTTTCCTACGGAGTCTGGTGGCAGAGTGGGGCCCGCGTCACTGGCCTGTTGCAGCATGTGTGGAAGGGGTGCGGCAGGCCACGGCCCAGCAGCTGTGGTCTGGCCCCTCTGAGCCTCTGTCTCCTCACGTGGAACAGGGGCCCCTGTGTGTGTTGTAGCCTAGGGGTGGGGGCAGGGGGCACAGGGGAGGCGTCCCACCTGCCCCCAGGGTGCGTGCGTGGGCAGTGGGAGCCCAGGTTAGCCTCTGACCCCGTGCGCCGCCCCTGTCTGTTCCAGGGACTTCGAACATGTCGGGAATCGCCCTCAGCAGACTTGCCCAGGAGAGGAAGGCGTGGAGGAAAGACCACCCCTTCGTAAGGAGCTCCGTCCCTGTGCGGTGGGGGCGGGGAGCTTCGCCAGCCTGTTCTCTGGGGTGCCCCCACACTGACGTGCTTCGGTGGTTGTGTTCCCTCAGGGTTTTGTGGCTGTCCCGACAAAAAATCCCGATGGCACGATGAACCTCATGAACTGGGAATGCGCCATTCCAGGGAAGAAGGGGGTAAGGCCACACCAGCCTGCTGCTTGGCGCAGTTTGCAGAAGGTTCAGGAGGCAGGACTGGGAGAGACTTGGGTTCAGATGCCACTCGTGTGTCACGCCCACACTTGTCGTGGGTTACAGTCGTCGCAAATCCTCTGCTCTGTCCCCAGCCTGCCTGGCGGGACATGAGGTCAGAAGGTGCCGGCAAGGTTGAGGTGACAACTGTGACTAACCAAGAAGGAAGCAGCCAGCTGCCAGGAGGGTGCAGAGCTGGGTGGTGGGGGACTTGGAGGACAGGCCCTTGGTGCGTGGCTGGGGGCGCAGGGTAGTGGGGGTGGGCAGGCAGCCTTCCCGGTCAGGAGGGGTCCTGTCATGCGGGGTGAACCAGCCTGAGCTGGGGGTGTCCTGGAGAGCCTGGCTGGCCCAGGCCAGCGTGGCCGCCCTGGTGCTGACCCTGTCCCCTGTCCTCATTGCCCTCACATTGGCAGCATTTGAGAGTGGGGGCCTGCAGTGACCCCAGCGTCTACGGACAGCTCTTCTTGACCCTTCAGGAAGGTGTCTGGGTGATGCACGGGGCCTAGGCACCCCTGCCTGTCCCCACCTGCACACCTGCCTGCTGGGGCTCGGCCTGAGTGTCTCCGAGGTCAGTGGTCCTCAGGCTCGGCTCTGCCTGAGGGGCCATGTGGTTTGCGTTTGTCACCTGTCCAGGGCTCTGTTGAGGGCCCAGTGGGCACATCCTCTGGCCCTCTGTTAGGGTGAGGCAGGTGCCCCGTTGCTGTCCCCTTCCCCAGGGGGACTTTGGGACGGGTGTCAGACTGGAGCAGCAGAGGCTCCTTGTCCAGGCTGGATGGAGGGTGGCAGTGCAGCAGCCCTGCCCTGGAGGCACGTCCCACCCACTGCAGCGGCTCCTGCCTCTGCTCTCCCCGGGAGGCTCTCCCGGGCTCTCCTGGGCACAGTGGTGTCTCCGTGGTCCCCACGGGGGCAGTCTGGGCTGCAGGGCAACTTAGAAGACCCCGGGCGTTGTGGCAGTCCTGGGTGCCAGGCAGTAGACGCGAGTCCCTCCCCCCCGGCTGCAGTGGCAGACAGGCAGCACACCTTACTGTGTTTCTTCCCCACAGACTCCATGGGAAGGAGGCTTGTTCAAGCTGCGCATGCTCTTCAAAGACGATTACCCATCCTCACCCCCAAAGTGTGAGTAGCAGAGACGTGGGGCGTCCTGGCTGGTCTCTGATCTGCCATGGGGAGTGCCCGTGGTGCTGGGAGGGAGATGACCCGACTGTGACCCTTGACCCCGCTGGGCTCAGGTGTGAGTCTGTCTCTTCCCACTGGGATGGGCGGTGCGTGTAGTAGGCTGATCTCTGGGCCGAGATCACCTGGACCTTAGGTGGCTGTCGGTGACACAGAACACGAACCTGGTGCCCAGGAGACCACAGCCCTGGGTGACGGACGTACAGGATGCTGTTCAGAGTCTGTGCCCTCCCCCTGCCACCCTGTCTGTGGCTATTGCACAGCTTCGTGCCAGCTGCGCTGCGTCTGGCTGCGTCTCACCTCCCTGAGAAGGTAGTGGGAGAAGGTGGCCACGTCTGGACTAGTGGCTCCCGCTGAGAAGTCATCTGAATGCAGTTTAGCGAAGCTCAGGACGGGCGATAAGTCCCCACCCTCTGGTAGCTAGAGACCAGCGACACTGGTTGGTTGATGATGAGGCCACACGTGCGGGCACCTGAAGAGCACCTGGCGCGTGGTGGGCGAGCATGTGCTCTCTCAGGTGGCTCTGGCTGCGGCCGGAGCGTGGGTTCAACTGCGGCACCTCCCAGGAGAACGTAGCCTGCCGACAGGCGGTATGAACCTGGTAACACTTCGATGGAGACTGTTTCATTCCGGCCTGTCCTTTGCTGTTTGAATTTTTGTGCCACAGACAAATATCGATTAAAACTATTTCTCCTAATTAAGAGAAAAAACGTAAGAATGAGACAACATAGCTGCCTTCGTTGCTTCCGTTCAGTGCATTGGAATTCGAGCAAACACAGCGAGGCGAGGCAGAGAGACCACAAGAGAGCTGGGAAGGGCAGCCACGGCTGCAGGCAGACCGTCCCTCAAGGTTGCTGTGTGAGAAGTTGACGTACAAAAATCAATTTTCACGTCATTTCAACAAGGGAAAGTTGCGAAACTGCTGTTTCCAGCAGCATCAGATCCCTTGGGCCAACAAGAGATTGGTTTGAGAGCTCAGAGCTGGAAACAGGAGGTTTCTGACAAGCCAGGGACGGCCAAGCTCCGCCGCGCCCGCGTGGACTGGAAGACATGGTGTTGTGGGGATGTCGGTTCTCTCCGGCTCGTCTGCAGGTTCTGCGCCGCGATCCCAGTGGGTCGGGCACGCTTCGTGGAAATTGCCCAGCAGCCCTAAGTGTGTGTGGAAGTGCAAAGGGCGGGACTCGCCAAGGCCCAGTGAGTGGCGGGAACCCACGCTGTTAAGGGGCCAGGCGGAGCGCACCCCATCAGACACTGAGACCTGCCACAGGACACGGTGACTGAGACGCCCCAGGGTTGGTGCGAAGGCAGGGGCTCAGCCTGCAGTGCAGAGGGGGTGTCCAGAAAGGCCCTGCACACGTGCACAGCTCAGTTTGCGTGGAGACATCCCAGCGGGAGCAGGGAAAGCTCGGCCTCTTCCCTCCGTGGACAGGTGCCTTCCCTGTGGACGGTGGCACCCGCTGGGCAGGGGAGTGCTGTGGCATTTGGAGGAAGGCAGGAAGACGGGATGGGCAAAGATTTCTTAACCAGGGAAGCACAGGCGGTGCCAACCATGGGGGCAATTGACCACTTGAACCACATCGAAAGTGAGAAGATCTTTGCCTCAGAAGACCCCGTGAGGGAGAGGAGAGTGGCGTGTGCGTCTCAGCGCTTTTGACTTGTCGAGAATCGTGGGGGACAGGATGACCCTGTGAGGTCACTGAGGGGCAGTCCACCTGGCCGCTGAACAGGGAGGGATGTGTGGCTTCGTCCTCCGGGGCCCGGAACCGCCCGGTGGGACCCTCTGTACTCACGGAAGAGCAGATGCCGAGGGCGGAGGGGCGGGAGCGCCCAGACACCCGCAGGAGAGCGAGCACACGCGAGCACACGGGGCGCTCGCCCTTGGACGGGTCTTCCACGCCCGCTCCGGGGCCTCGGAGTTGCGGAGAGCGGGACGAGCGGGACGGCGTGGCGTGCAGCAGCTGGGGGACCCAGAGGGTGCAGAGCGCGCACACGGGGCGCTCGCCCTGGGACGGCGTGGCGTGCAGCAGCTGGGGGACCCAGAGGGTGCAGAGCGTGAGCGCGGGGCAGGCAGGAGGAGGGCCGTCCTGCCCCCCTTGGTTCCTTTATTGAGTCCAGAGACGTAGGTGCGCCATTTAGGCTTTGTCTCTCACAGGACAGCGTGTGCCTGTTCCAATTCTGTCTCTTTGGGGCCACAATTTCATTTTCTCTTTTGAAAAGTTCTTGGGCAGATACCTGGCCTCCTCCGGGGGCCAGTGTGGGGAGGGGGCGGCCGGGAGGGCGCTGCTCTGTAGGACAGCAGCTGCCTCCAAAAAGCGTTTCCTTTCCTTGCCCGCCAGGTAAATTTGAACCGCCATTATTCCACCCGAACGTGTACCCTTCGGGCACGGTGTGCCTGTCCATCCTGGAGGAGGACAAGGACTGGCGGCCGGCCATCACGATCAAACAGGTACAGGGCGCGGGCCGCCCTGCGCTGTCCTGGGAGTCTGCCTTTCACGATGCTGTGGCCAACTGTGTGTGTTTTTTCCTGCCCAGATCTTACTAGGAATACAGGAACTTCTAAATGAACCAAATATCCAAGACCCAGCGCAAGCAGAGGCCTACACGATTTACTGGTGAGTGGCGGCTGGCCCTGCCGGCCGCAGCCTCCTTCCCTGTCCATGTGGGCTTGCCCGGCGGGGGCAGAGACGCAAGCTCGCGCAGCGCATGAAGTGAGAGGTCTGGGGCTGGGGAGGCCCTGTGGGCCCTGGTGCTGTGTACACGGGTCTTGGTGGGCAGGAGCTGGTACGGCCAGGGCTTTGGTGGCGGGAGCAGGAGGTTGGGTGATGTGGGCTCTCAGGCGCTACCGTCCCTGGTGAGCTGTGGCCGGCTCCAAGGAGAAGGCCCTTGAGCGCCAGGGTGGGAAGCCACGATGAAGGGTGTGTCCCGTGTCCTACGTTGCTCAGTGGCACCCTCACTCAGGCACTGGGCTCCCATCCTGGCCTTACAAGGTGCTGCTGTGGCCAGAGGGGTCCCGTGGTCACATGTCCCCGCCGTGCTGTGGAGGAGGGCCTGGTGTAGACGGGACGTGGACGCTAACCTGGTGCCGGGGCAGCAGGCCCCCATGCCCTCGGTATCCCGGGTCCCCCAGCCCTGCCGGCCAGCCTGTTGGGCTGGTCTGGGGGTCCCTAGGAAGCTGGGTTGGGGGCTCTGAGCCCACACTGCGCTGCAGCATTCAGACGCTGTCCTCACTGCACTGAGGGAACGGGCCAGGAGGCTTTCGGAGGACAGTCTCGGTGCCCTGCAGCCCGGGACCAGAGGGCTTGCTGGGCAGCTGCCCCACGCCCTGGCTTGCCTACTGGGCCGACGGGCCAGCCAGTCCCACCCTGGGCAGTAGAGGCCTGCGCCTTCCAGGGGGCGTTTCCCGAATTGGAGCTGAGGCAGGATTGGCAGCCAGACACGCCTTTCTCCAGGTGCAGGCCCAGCCCAGGTGCTGGCGAGGGGCCCTCCCTGGTGGCCACGGGCGGCTCAGAGGCCCCAGGCAGGGAGTGGAGCCGCTCCAGCCTTAGCCCAGCTCCCCTGAGGGCCAGCTTTGATCAGTCCCCGGCCCTGGCTCAGATGCCCAGCAGCTGCTGGAGTGGGCCTGGCGGGCCGGGGCTGGACTCCTGCCAGAGCTGCGCCTGCCGTGCACTGGTCGTTCTGTGAGACGCGCACGCTCTGCACGGGGGAGCGCCGAGCCTCATGCAGGTGGGGGTTGGCTCCCACGGCCATGGCCACTCACCCTGGCTGGCCGCCGTGGAGAGGCCGCGGCAGAGCTGACCGGCTCACAGCGACGGGGCAGCCAGTGGGGCAGAAAGTGCTATCCTGTGGGGCCCTCAGGGCTGGAGTGGCCGCTGTGCACCTGCAGCCCCGAGGCCAGCAGGTCCCTGCTGTGCGGCGTCGCACCCTGCGTCACGCGGGCTCGCTGCCGCCTGGGCGGCTCCACTTCGCTCCCACTTGGATCAAAATGTTCTTTCTCCTGCAAACATCGACTTTAAAAGCACTTTGTGCAGAGCGTGCCCGAGAACTCCAGCCCCCTTTTCCTCGTGTGGCTGAAGGCCTTGGGGCTTGGCTGCCCCTCTGGTCCTCCCTGGGCCTGCCCAGCGGCCCGAGCTGGGTGCTGGGGCTAGCAGCAGGGCCGGCCTTGCGGGGGGGGGGGGGGCGCAGCCCTGGTCCCACACCCCAGGAGCGGTGTGCGCATCGGCAGAGCTCCACCTTCACCCCAGAGCCCGTCTGCGGGGTGGTCCCTCCGGCCTGTTAACCCCGGGCCTGGGCAGCAGGTGTCCACAATGCGCCTGGGGGGCAGCGCTCTGGCTGAGACCAGGCTGGCTCCTCGGGGAGCGCTGTGCATGCCAGTGTGCAGACACGTCAGGCCTGGCTCCGCGTGCAGGACGGACCAGCCCTGCGCTGCGGCCGCGGAGGCTGCTCCCTGCCACCCGCCACGCCCAGGCGCAGCGTGGGCCACTCACCCGCCTGGGTGCCGTCACAGCCCTGTCTTCTCAGCTGCTCTCGGGCCAAGCCCCACGCAGACGTCCAGCTCCCGTCCTGCTCACTGGGCTGCCCTCACCCCACGCTCGGTCGGGGCCCTCTGCCCCGGCCTCCTCCTGCACCTTTGCCCAGGCTGAGAGCCTGGTGGGAACGCCCTCTAGTTTGGGAATCAATAGCAAATAGTGTCAAGCAATCGATGTTTTGTTTTTGATTTTTTGAGACAAGGTCTTACTCTGTCTCCAGGGCTGGAGTCCCGTGGCGTTACCTAGCTCACTGCAGCCTCAAACTCCTGGGCTCATGCGATCCCCCTGCCTCAGCCTCCCGAGTAGTTGAGACCACAGGCGGGAGTCTCCGCACCAGGCTAATTTTTCTATTTTTAGTAGAGACAGGGTCTTGCTCTTGCTCAGGCTGGTCTCAGCCTCGGAGTGCTGGGATTGCAGCTGTGAGCCTCCTTACCCGGGCCAGTCAATGTTGCCAAAAGTAACCACTGTCTCAGACTTCCACAGAAGAAATCTCTGATGCCTAGTTAAGATCAATGCCAAGTTAAAATCAATGGCAAGTTAAGATCACTGCCTAGTTAGGATCCATGACTAGTTAAGATCAATGGCTAGTTAGGGTCGATGGCTAGTTAGAAGCACAGACTCAGCACAGGTTACACTGTCGCAGGTGCCTGTGCTGTGAACCAACTCTGGTCCTGAGCTGCCTCCCTGCCCAGCAGGGACACTGTGCCTAGGAGGCTGCTGCCCCGCCCCGTCACCACGTCCACCACATGTGGCCTCCTTTCCTCCCTGCTGCCCCCTGCCCTGGTCTCGTGACCCTCGGGCTGCCCCGCCCTGCACGGCTCCCCGGGCCACTGGCTCTGTCAGGATACTGTGCTGCAGGCGTCCAGAAGCCTTCCTGGGCGTGGCCGCCTCCGCCCGGTGTGGGCCCAGCGCTCGCCGTTCTAACGTGTCTCTTCTCTTTTGACCTCCTCAGCCAAAACAGAGTGGAGTATGAGAAAAGGGTTCGAGCACAAGCTAAGAAGTTTGCGCCCTCATAAGCAGCGACCTGTGGCATCACAAAAAGGAAGGGATTGGTTTGGCAAGAACTTGTTTACAACATTTTTGCAAATCTAAAGTTGCTCCGTACAATTACTAGTCACCTAGGGGAGGGTTGGGTGGGCGCCATCTTCCATTGCCGCCACGGGACACCGTTCTTGATTCGCTGAATTGCCCAGTTTTTCATACAGGGTCTCTTCCTTCAGTCTTTTGTATTTTTGATTGTTATGTAAAACTTGCTTTTATTTTAATATTGATGTCAGTATTTCAACTGCTGTAAAATTATAAACTTTTATACTTGGGTAAGTCCCTGGAGCTAGCTTCCTCCGCTCTGATGCAGGCATGCTTCACCTGGCCGCGCTCACCTGGCCCCGCTGGCTGTACAGAAAAGAAACCACACGGCCGCCCGCCTTGTCCTCCGGACCTGGGGCGTATTGCTCTTGAGCCTCAGGTCCGAAGCCAGCGCGTCTGACCGCATCACTTCCTTTGTGTTTCTATGGCGTTCTGTCTGTGTTGCTGTTTAGAGTAAATAAACTGTTTATATAAAGGTTTTTGTTGCATTATTGTCATTAAAAGTGTGAGGAGGCCTCGGAGCTCCCCTCTGCAGGCCCCGTGAGCACCAGCCCCGCGGCCCGGCGTGGCGCCAGGTCAGCCACGCGCACTCCTCACATCTCTGCTTCCGGACGCGCATCTCCTGTCCCGGTTCTTTGTAAATAGGACTGTGTTCTCCCCGCCCCGGACCTCCGTAGAGTACTAGACAGTTCAGACCTGGCGAGCCGGAGCCGGCGTCAAGAACCTCTCGGACCACGCGGGGCAGAAGCGGGCAGGCACGGCTGTCCGAGCAGCCTGCTGGCATGGGCGCACCCACGATGGGGCCGCGGCGATGGAGCTTTGCCTGTGGACACCGCGCCATCTCCCCTCCCCGCCTGTGCTCCGTGCCCTGGCCGGCCTGGCCCGGGGGCAGCCCTCTCCTCCACGCGCCCTTCTCCCGCATCCTGGGGAGGCTGCACCATCGCCCGGGAGAGACCGGCACTTCCTCCAGCCGCCGCCCCCAGTGCTTCCGGCCTGCCGTGGCCCCCACCCTGGGCGGCAGGTGGACGGGCCCTGGGCGTTGTCTTGGCACCAGGGACCTGAGCAAGGCGCCACTGTCCACACATCCTTATCCTGAGGATTTCTGAGCCAGGGACGCAGCGTCAAGCCTGGATGCGCTGCGGGGTTGGCCGGCCCATTCTCCGGGCTTCCCAGGGCTGGCGGCCCAGCCGTGTCCACTGCTGGGAAGCTGAGTACAGGCCCCAGCTCTGCCGGAAGGCACGGGGTCGGGGGGAGTCCCGCGGGGACTGGGCCCAGTGCCCACCCCCCGACCTGGCCGGCAGGCGCAGTGGACTTGCCCTGGAGGCTGGAGCAGGCCCAGCACCCCCAGCGCTAGACGCGGGTACCCAAGGCTCAGGCACTGACCAAGGCCCCACGGGCACAGGAGTGCAGAGAGCTGGTCGTGGGCCCCGGAGGAAGGAGCTTGGCGCCCTCTGGTCCCTGTGCGCCACCAGCCACCAGCCAGGGGTCTCCGAGCTTAGAGGTGACTCCCGAAGGCCCTAGGGCTGGTGGCACTGCGGTGGCTCCGAGGTACGAGTGCCTTGTTCGCTTTCTCAGCTGTACATTTTGTCGGGTCACTGAGCTCTCGGTTTGATATTTGCAGTTTGTTTATAACGCAGAGGGCCTTACCCGGGGATCCAGCCGGATTGTATATTTGTAGCTTGCTCTCGAATGTCTTATTTTGTAATGACTGAACTACATTTAGTATTAGTTAACACATGTATATGGTTAATATATATGGAAATCAATATATTTTATAGTTAAAGTATTCTAAAGTAATCGATGTTTCTAGCAAATTGTAGTGACTTCAGCTAATGAAATGTTTCCTTTGTACCGCAGTCCTCGGCTTAGCAAAGATGTGAATCTTGTAACATGAGCACTCTGGAATGTGGCCCCTGGCCGATGTCGGGGAGAGGGTGTGTTCCCGGCATGGCGTCTCTAACCGGTCAGGAACTGTGGGCAACACGTTAACCACTGTATCTAAGAATCCTCAAATTAAAATGTTTCCACAAACTGCAGCCTGCAGGGTGTGTCCTTTTCCCGCCTGTGTCTGTCCTCGCTGGGCTGTGGGTGGGCGGCCCCCTTGCCCGGCACCGCCCCCCCCAGGGGAGGCCGCCCCCCCATGGCCTCTAGTACCTGGCATCAGACCCTCCGTGGCCAGTGGGGGTGATGTCCCCTCAAGTCTGGGTGGGACCAGCTGCCCCGCGTGGGGTCTCCCGGGTAGCATGTGTGTCCAGGACTGGCTGGAGCTTCCAGACAAGGAGCCCGGCCTCAGGGCAGCTCCCAGGGGAACCCTGTGCATGACCCAGAGGGCCCCTCCTGTGGCCTTGGGGGTCTGGCTGGCCACACTTGTCAATCTCGCCTGTACCCTGGGACTTGGGGCTGGCTGGGCCGAAACAGGCGAGAGCCAACCACCACCTAGGACTGCCGTCCCCCGAGAACGTCGGCTCCTGGCCAGGCTCCCAGGTTCCTCTCACCCTTCTGAGCTGTCCTACCCAGGCTCTGGCCGCGTCCTGGCACCTGTCTGCCCACCCGCAGAGGCACCCTGGGCTCCCTAATCAGCCCGAGGCGCGACCATCACTCATGGGAGCAGCTGATGGAAACCTCCAGCTTGTGGTTGCCATGACAACGGGTTGCCAGGTTGGAGGGCCTGAGCATTGACTTGGACCGGCTGGAACTGGTCTGAGCCAGCTCCAGCAGGGAGAGGCCCAAGGGGTGCTGGCTTTCAGGATGCAGATGCTGAGTCTGGGGGTGACCTGCCTGCCACTCAGGAGACAGCGCCCGCCCCGTCTGAGGGAGCCCTGGGGCCCGGCCCGGGGTTGGACCATCGGGTGGGAAGGGACCGAACAGCTGGTCCTGCCCAGAGACTCCTGAGAAGCAATAAGAAGAGGGCACGCGTGGGGCGGGCTCTGCCCTCGTGGGGCCTCTGCCCGTCCAGGCAGAGCCCACCAGATCCGCCTCCTCGGAAGGGAGGCAACTCCCACCCCTTGACCTCTGCCGTTATGGAAGGAATCGAGCCCCCAGAGCTGGGACCAGGGCACCTGCACCCGCCAGCTCTGCTCAGAGGCTGTGTGTGGAGGAGCTGGTGCATCCTGGGTAGGCCTCTGTGGGCAAGTGGCCCTGGCATGCCCGCCTCAGGCCTCGCAGACGGCAGGGCCACCTTCCTGCCAGGCTGTCCAGCCAGTGTCCTGGGCCCACTTCTCTGCCCCCACCCCACCCCGGCCTCACAACCCACACACCTGCAGCGGCAGCAAAGCCTAGGCCCACGGGCATCCCTGCCTGGCTCAGGGTGGCTCTCCCCAAGCCAGCTCACGTGCTCACGGAGCCTGACTCCCACACCTCTGCCCCAGGGATGCTGCAGGGTGGGTTCCTGGTGGCCTCAGAGCCCTCCAGCCCTAGACAGACAGGGCCCCCAGCTATAATCCCTGGGCTATGGCCCCACTCGCTCTAGGTGGCTTACCCCCCTCCCCTTCCCCTGTCCTGTGCAAGGAGTGAGGGCCAGTGGGGGGCAGAGGACAGGGCAGGAGCTTGGCAAGTAGGGGGAGGCTGTGCCTGCAATTCCGAGGACTGCCATCAGAGGGCAGTGGCCCCAGGCCCTGCAGGAGTTGGGGAGTCCCAAAGGCAGTGACCATCTGCCCTACTGAGCTGCCCTGGCCTGGGCACGTCAGCAGCTTAGGTATGTGTCTCCCGGCCCAAAAGAGGAAAGGCCATGCTCCCTGCCTGCCAGACCCTTCCCAGCTCTAAACCATGAGAGTGTGAACACTGCCAGGCTTGGGAAGTGGCTTTTCTCAGCTTTGCACAGGCAGTGCCAGCCTCCTCCCCATCAGCCTCCTCCCCATCAGCCTCCCCAGCCCTGGCCAGGTGGGGTGAGTCATGTCCCCACACACCTCCCATCCCCTCGCTTCCCCCAGAGGGGCCAGGGTGACCCCCCCCAGAGGGAAGGCTGCGGCTCAGGCATGGGGAGGGTAGGCGCCCACCCTCCTGTCCTCTCTCCTGACCCTGGATCACACACAAGGACCTGCTTCCACCCGCCACCTACAGATGGGCAAACGGAGTCACTGGCAGGACTGCAACTCAACAGGTGGCCACGGTTCCCATCCCCTAATAAGTGGGGGAGGACTTGGAGCTGACATTGGCTTGCTGGGAGCTGAGGTCGGCCCAGTGAGGTCCCCAACAGCACCCAGGGGCATGGGGCAGCGGGGGGTTGACTGGGAAAGGGGTGAGCAGGGGGCGGGGCCCTGACCCAGGTTGCCCTGACTTCAGTTTCAGCAATCAGGGGAGAATGAAGGACTCGGTCACCGAGTGGGCCAAAGCTCATTCATTCAACAACCCCCAACATTATGGAGGAAGGAGCCCTGGGGACTATCCTATACCGGGGAAACTGAGGCCCAGGGCTGGGTTTGGACCCAGCTTCTTGCTGTGTGTCCCCAGATAAGCCTCTTGCCATCTCTGGACCTCTGTTTCCCTACCTGTAAAAGAGGATGTTGAGAGGTCTCCAGACAGACTGCGGCGTTTCGTAGGGGCTGGTGCCCCTGCCTGGGGGCCGTGGCCGGCAGCGGCCCCTCCCAACTTCCTGCTTCCAACAGCGGCAGCATCTTATCCCTTCACCCAAAGCCATTGCGATCACCATGGCAACCGGGCCTGTGTTTGTTCCAACAGGTTGGCAGGGTCTGACGGTCTGACGCAGATTGCACAGGTGGGGGCAACGGTGCTGGGGCCCTGGCTCGGGGCCCAGAGCCCCTCGGGAGGGACCTGGCCGCCCCAGCCCTGACTCCCCTCAGCTGCTGAGGAAGCTGAGGCACAGCTGGTGGGCAGGGGCCCGACCCCTGCCCAGCTCGCCGAACACATCTCTGTGCCGCAGTCGGGGCATTTCCCCTGCCCTTGCCTGGCTGTGCTGGACCGGGAGGGAGGCAGGGGCTGGGGGCTGCATGTCCTGGAGCACACCCTCCCTGCTGTCCTGTCCCCATCCTGCCCAGACAGGTACTGGGCCGGGCAGGGAGGTGAAGCCCCATCAGTAGAGTCTGCCCCATCCTGGGGGAGGGGAGAAGCTGCTGGGTTCTCCTTGGGCTGGGGACAGTGGCCACACTGCCCCTCCCCAGCGCCCAGGGCCGTGCAGCAGATGAAGCCCAGGTACTGGCAGGAGGCTGGATCCCTGCACTGGACCCTGTCTGGCCTCGGGGCCCTCAACCTGGACCACCCTTGCCTCTGGGCCTGAGCTGGAGCGGGCTCCAGGTCTTCTGCTCCTCGAACTGGCAATGGGCCCACCCCTAGGGCTGGGCGCTTTGGGGTGAAAACTTATCCAAAGTCTGATCCTCCCACCCCGACGTGCTGCGGTGTCGGGCTGTGCCGGAGGGCGCTAAGAGCCCGGGACAAGACTGGGAACATCTGCTCTGCCGCCAGGTCGACCTTAGGGCCCTGGGCCTCCAAGTCTGGTCCCAGGTCCCAGGTCCCAGGCCCAGCCGCGTGTTGGCCCCAGCGTGTCAGAAAGGCAGCTGGCGGCGATCTGCTTTCCCGCGCCCTCCAGGTGCCCAGCGCGGGCTCAGGCTTGAGAACAGCTGCGCTTGGGGGTGGCGGGGAGCTGCCTGGGGAGGGGCCGGCGGCAGGATCCAGTCCAGACCCTGAGGTTCCAGCTGCGGGGACCTTGCCAGAGCCATCGGGGCGATCACCCCAACAGGTGAGCGGGGTCGTCGCGGGCGGTTTGGCCCGCGGTGCCAAGGTCCCCAGACGCACGCCGCGCCAGGTTGGTGCGGGGACGGCGCTGGGGTGGGAGCGCGACTCTGGAGATGGCTGCGCAGCCCTTCGAGAAAAGTCTGCGCTGTAGCCTGGCGCGTCATGTTGGAGATCGGTGACTGGCTTCCTGGGGACCTCGGGGAGGGGACCCTACAGACAGCGCCCCGCCCCGCCCCCTCCTGCCGCGGGGAGGGGAGCACAGCCAGGCGGGGTCCAGACGCGGGCCGCAGCCTGCTCCCGTCTCCGAGCCCACCGAGGGTAGACTGACGGCCCCGCGCCGCCCTGCACCCGGGGCTGGGGCACAGGACCCCCGCGCGGACCCCAGACGGAGCTGGCGCGGGAGGGGGCCCGGAGCGGTGGGCGGGGCGAAAGCCGTCAGGCCCCGCCCCCGCCCGCACCAACGCCCCCCGCCCGCCGCAGCCGCGAGTCCGCAGTGCTCAGACGTCGGCGCGCACGGCTGCTAGCGGTCGCTGCTCTTCGGCGTCCCGGAGCCGGTGCCCGCAGGAGCCCTCCGCGCCCGGCTCACGGTGAGTGCCCCGGCTGCAGCCCGTGCCGTCGGGCCGCCGTCGGGGCTCGGCCCTGCGCCCCGACCTGGACGGACAGACAGCAGCCGCCGCCCCCCAGGAGCCGCCCCCCTGGGCCCTGGTGTCCGGCGGCAGCGCTGCGCTCGCCGCGACCCCCGGGGGGCGGGGAAGGGAAGGGGGAAAGTTGTCGAGGACGCTCCCTTGGCCCTGGGGAAACAGGTCTCGCATGGTCGGAGGGGCGGGGTCTCAGGGGCATTTCTCTTGCTGCCCCCACCGAAACCCTCCCCTCGGAGCGTGCAGGGGCGGGCGCGTGCAGGGGCGGGCGCGGCGGCGGGGTCCGCACTGCGGACGGGCGGGGGCAGGGCCAGACCTCCGCGCCGCAGGGCGCCCGCGACCACTGTCCCCCGTCCCCCTGTCCCGGCTCCCGGGCCTCCGGCCACCGGGCTCCCACCCGGCGCCCCTCCACAACGGAAGCCACAGACGGTAGCGGGTCCGAGGACCCCGAAAACGCTCAGGGCTTCCCAACACCCTCCCGGGCAGGGGGAGGAAGACGACCCGCCCTTGTCTCTCCCACCCTCCCGCCGTTCCTCGTGGGACCCCCTAGTCCCCCCCAAATCCCGCTGGCGCAGGCCCCGCGCGTCCCCTCCTCGCCCTCCCTGCCAGGGCCGGGAGCCTCTGGGGACCGGTTCCCAAACTGTCCCGGACCGCCCGCCCTCCAGTGGGAGAGAGACCCCAGTAGAACTGGGGGGCAGGGCTCCCGCGGTCCCCGGGAGGCCGAGAAGGGGTGCGGGGAGGGAGGGTGGAGAGAGGGAGGTCGCTGGGGAGACAGGTGAGTGGAGACAGGTGGGAGCCTGAGGAAGAAGGCGCCCAACGCCCCAGTCTCCTGTGGTGGTGGGGGAGGGTCCAGCTGGCTCTGCTTCTGGCCTGGCAGCTCCAGGTCCACGTGCAGCTCTGGTAAAATGCAGGCACCCAGATTAGATCCCAGTGAGACCCTCAGGAGCGTCTCTGGCTCACCAGGGCCCCCCCCTCCCCCGCACTGTGTGGCAACCATGGGGGGGTAGTGAGACCAGGGGGAGATGCCAGCAGGAAGTCCCAGCACCCGACCAGGGGGGCTAGGGGGGGTCGTGTGGGGAAGAGGAGCAAAACCCCACAGGGAATGAAGACCAAGAGGGGCTGTGGACAGCCAGCATGGGGGAGGGGACATCCTGCCCCACCCCCATCCCCCCATTGCGGTGGCAGCAGGTCCCCTGCCCTCAAGGTGTCTCCGTGCTGTGCAGGTGGAGAGCAGGAAGGCTGACCCAGCTGTCCGCAGCTCAGCTGCCCCCAGACCCATCTGCCTCAGAGCCACCCAAGCCCCCAGTGGCCTTGCAGGGGACAGCTCGGCTGGAGTTCTGGGTTTAAATCCTGGCTCTGGGCAAGTCACCCCAGCCCTGGGATGTGACATGGGAAAGTGTCACTCTCCGTTCAGCCCAGGTCTGGAGGCAGCCAGAGATTGAGCTTGGGCCATGCTGACCCTTACTCTGCTCGCTGGGCAGACGGCCGGGTGTTTGGCCTGAGCGGGGTGTGGGCACCTCCTGCTCCACACTCTGTCCAAGCACACAGGGCACAGAGATGGCGACAAGGGCCCACGAAAGAGTGACATTGGGCTCCCCAGACAGATGAGGTCCCCAGTGCTCCGTCCCAGCTGAGCCCCCAGACATCTGCGCTTCCCGCCTGGTCACAGATAAACACAGAGGCTGACAGGACATGCCCACTGTCTGTCGTTCATGGCGGCTCCGGACGAAGCCCCTGGCCAGGGCACCGTCGCCCTCTGTGGCAGGTGGCTCCCGGGGCAGGTGGCTCCCGGGGCAGGTGGCTCCCAGGTGCAACAAAGTTCCTGCTGCCCAGGCAGCCGGGGTTTCTGAGCACCTGTGCAGAGCTTGCACCATGGTCCCTGTCCTGGCTGCCAGCTAAAGGGGGGTGTGCAGGAGCTGTAGCCAGGATAGCCCATCCAGCCGGACCCCAGACCTCAGGACATCGCAGGAGCTTAGCACTGGCCACCAAAGGGGCCCTGCTGCCTGCGTGCCCTGGATGGGTTCCTAAGCCTTAGCGTGCTCATCTGGGACGAGGCGAGCGGAGCAGACCCCTCTCTCAGGCTGCTCCGAGGACTGGCCGGTGGGACGTCGGGTGGGAGATGCAGGGAGGGCATCCAGCCCCCACTTTGCCTGGAACAGTTTGTTCTCAGACACCCTGTCCCCAAACCTGCAGCTCAGCCTCAGCTCCTGCGTCACATTTGTCTCTGGGCCCAGGAGCCCTTGTAGCCCCTGTCACATGCGTATGCGGCGGACGGTTGCCCTGGCGACAGCTCAAGCAGTGGCTGCTCCACTGGCTTTGAGGGGCTGCGGGGGGAGCAGCCTCCTTCACTCAGCTAGAGGGGGGGGGCTGTCACTCCCGGCAGCTTCTGAAAGCACCATGTCCAGATCTCTGGGACCTGGTCTTTGGGGGGAGGCTCACAGAGGGAGGCACTGATGGGTGTGAAGGAGGTGAGTGCCCTCTCCTGTCCTGGGCTCCAGGGCCTGGCCAGGTGAAAGCGCACTGAGCCCAGGGCCGGCAGGAGCATCAGGAACAGGGTGAGGCGTTGTGGGTAGAGATGGAGCTGGGGCACAGAGCAGGCACGGTGACCCTGGGCCACCACAGACGGACCTGGGAGCAGGGAGCTTGTCCAACATCTGCTTAGGACCACCAGTTGCATGGGCCCAGCCCCCACACCTGGCCTGATTCTGGGGAGGAGGCAGCAGGGGAGGGTGACAGGGCTGGTGACAACACGGCCCAGGCGCTGGCCTGGCACGCAGCTGACCTGCCCTCCCACCCCCAGCTGCCCTGAGCTCCTGGGAAAGGACCTGCTCAGCCCCCATTTCCTGTCTCGTGGCCCCTGCCAGGGTGGATGTGCCTGGCTGAGGCACCCTCACTAGGTGGCCAGGGGGTGCCAGCAAGCAGAGGGGGCCCATTGACTGCACACAGACCCTGTGGGGGGCTGGGAACACGGGTGTGCTGTGAGCCAGAGGCCAGCAAGGCTGGGGCAGGAGCGCAAGGCTGGGGGCAGAGGGGGCCTGGCTGAGAGGCAGTTTTCGTGGGGAAGGCAGGAACTCCCTGGGGCAGGGCAGGGGCTGCACAGGGTGACGAGGGGCTCAGGAGGCCACAGTGTCTGGGCCGTCATCCTGCCCTTCCTCTTGGGGTCTGCAGGGGAACCCGAGCCCCACTGAAGGCCGCGTGCAGGTGTGAGCCGGGGGCAGGGGCAGAGAACAGGGAAGGAGCAGAACAGCCTGTGCTCTGGGGGAGAAGGGGAGGCTTCCCAGTATGCAGAGGTGTCCCCTGCCTGGGCCACTGGCTCCAGGCCTTGGGGCCAGGACTGGGACTGTCCCCTTGGCTTCCCAGCCCCCACCCAGGTGGCAGACATGTTCAGCAGGAGCAGGGGCTGGGCCCAGTCCGCACACCTCGGCAGAGGGCCACTCTGCTAGGGCAGGATGTAGTGGGGGGGGGGTGGCTTGGTTGCCACGGCAACATGAAGGGGATGGAAGAGGATGAGCAGGAGGGCGTGAGAGCTGCTGGGGCTGATTGGGGGGGGGCAGGTCCTGCTCCCTAGGGCACTGCCCCCCGGGTGTGCTGACAGAGTCCTGGGGTGAGGGTGAGGCATTGACCACAGCTGTGCCCGGAGGGTGAGGGCCCCCGAACGGTCTCCTCTGGGGCATCCTGGCCACGTGGGCTGAGGCCCAGGCCACAGGCTTCCTTGCTGTCCAGGTGACAGGGTCCCACTGTGCCCTTCCCACCTGTGCCCCACCATGGTACCAGGACATCTGGGGTTCTGGTCATCGTTTTGCTTCCTGCCCTGGCAGCTCCGAGATGGAGCCCCAGCCCAGAGTGGCACTGCCACCACCTCCCCAAAGCCACCCTGCAGGGGACGCTCCGGCTCAGCAGGTCACCCAGCAGGTGTAGCTGCAGGAGCCTCACGGCCCCCCACCCCTGCGCCCACTGGCCTCCGCAGACCGCCCAAGGCTGTGCTCTCTGCCGCAGGTCGCCCGCCATGTCCGCCCTGCTGGAGATCAAGAGCAGCGTGCTCAGGCAGGTGCAGGTGTGCCCGTCCTTCCGCCGCAGGGCTGAGCAGGAGCCAGACAGCACCCATGCCGACCCGCAGGAGCCCGCCACCGGGGCCTGGTGGGTTCCCCACGGGCCGACCTCGCAGGGTCCTGTGTGTGCCTGGCTGGGCGGGGGTCACCGGGAGGCTGCGGCACGCTGTATGCACCCCAGAGTCGCGTGGCTGGGGCTGGGCCGGGCACGTGCCGTGGGCTGAGAGCTGACCTGGGCCTTTCTCCCAGGAAACCCGGAGACGGCGTGGAGTTCTTCGCACACATGCGCCTGCTCCTGAAGAAGGGGGAAGGCAGACAGGGCCTGCCATGCCCCGAGGTGAGGACGCAGCTTCTGTGGCCAGCCGCAGCGCTGCCTGGGGGCGCCATGCTGCACCCCCTCCTGTGCCCTCCTCCCTGGAGCACCCCTGTCCAGCCAGCACAGCCCCTCACCCCAGCACCCCCCACAGGTCCTCCTGCGCAGCAGCTCTCCAGCCCCTGCTGAGCCCGTGGACCCCAACCGGGGCCTGAGAGCCCTGGCCCAGGAGGAGGTAAGTGGGGGAGCTCTGGCCACAGGGAGGGCGCTCAGCCATTTATGAGCACCTACTGTGTGCCCAGGGTCTGCTGACAGGTGCACAGCAAAGGTGGGTGGGATGGGTGGGTGAGGCGTGGAGGCCCCAGGTGCAAAGGGACTGAGGCAGGGGCTGGGTGTGGCCAGCGGAGGAACTGCCCAGGCCTGGGTGGGCACTCGGAGGGTGGGCAGGAGGAGTCTGAGACCCCTGCGTCGGCTGGGCGCGCTCAGGGCCTGCTCCTGTGCAGGTGGAGATGCTCTACGAGGAAGCCTTGTACACGGTCCTCTACCGTGCGGGGACCATGGGCCCCGACCAGGTGGACGACCAGGAGGCCCTGCTTGGCTACCTGCAACAGGTGAGCCCTAGGGAGGACCGAGGCCACTCCCTACCCCAACCCCCCACCGACATCGCCATCACCCAAACGGCACACGATTCCACCCACGCACAGCACGCACAGACGGCAGCACGTGTCACAGACACATATGTGCACGGCAGCATACGGACAGGCTGACGGAAGGAGGGATAGACGACACATGGAGACACAGCCTAGGGAGGAGAGACACACAGACTCTCCCAGAAGGATGGGCAGATGGACACACAGCTTCCCTCCTCACCTGCACTTGCCCTGAACTCCCTGTCCCTGGCCAGCATGCCACGACCCCCACCTCTACTCGGGCACTGGTGTGCCCCACTCACACCTGCCGTCCTTGGGTGTGACTCACACCCCTTGGCACAAACCCTCCAGCCGCCCTCCCAGGCCACAGGGCAGAGTGGGTTTCCCTGCCTCCGTGTGCTGAGCTCTGAGATGGGACCTTCCTGGCTGGGGCTGAACCTGAGGCCCCCCCCACAGTGGCTAGCCCCACTTCAGGGGTCCCCTGGGCCCCTCCCACTTGCCCACCCTCCACAGGTGTTTGGCACCAGCCCCGAGGAGCACGCTGAGGCCATTGGGCGTGTGAAGGCGGCCAAGGTAAGGATGGCCACCACCCACCTGGGCAGGGGCTGGCCAGGGCAGGGCCCGAGTGCCAGGGCCCTGGGGTGGTGGGGGCAGGAGGCCAGGCCCCGTCCTGTCCATGCTGAGCAGGTGTCCAGAGGGACAGCTCAGCCTGCCAGGCCCCCCGTGCCCCTCTGCCCACAGGCCCCCACGTACGCCCTGAAAGTCTCTGTCATGCGCGCCAAGAACCTTCTGGCCAAAGACCCCAATGGTGAGTGGGGCCCTGGGGACCCTGGTCACACCCTGGGACCTGGGGAGCAGGGGTGCAGGGTCAGGGGCTCAGGCAGCTGCCACATCCCAGGCTTCAGCGACCCCTACTGCATGCTGGGCATCCTGCCGGCCTCGGGTGCCCCCCGGGAGCCTGGTGCGCAGAAGGAGCAGCGTTTCAGCTTCCGAAAGGGCGGCAAACGTGGCGGCCCACTGCCAGCCAAGTGCATCCGGGTCACGGAGGTCAAGAGCAGCACGCTGAACCCCGTGTGGAAGGAGCACTTCGTCTTGTAAGCCCCTCCGTCTGGGTGGCTGGGTGGCCAGGTGGGGGTGGGAGGGCGATGGCCCACAGCCTGCTCCAGGGAGCTGCGAGGGGCACTGGGCATAGCCCGCTTCCTAGAGAGGGACGTGGTGCCCCAGCGGCCACACAGCTGGGAGCAAGTGGCAGCTCAGGATTTGAGCCTGGGCAGCCCTTCTAGGAGCCAGAGCGCGCGGCCAGGTCCACGCTGTGCTTGGACATCTTGGCGCACCTGGGACCTCCACGGGCTTCTCCGTGTTCTCCCTGTAGCGAGATCGAGGACGTCAGCACGGACCAGCTGCACCTGGACATCTGGTATGGGCCCGGGAACGGGGGCCTTGGGTCTGAGGGGAGGGGGACTCCAGGCCGTGCCCGGGGCTCCAGACAAGCCAGGCGCTCCCCCACCCCCAGGGATCATGATGATGATGTGTCCCTGGTGGAAGCGTGCAGGAAGCTGAACGAAGTCATCGGCCTGAAGGGCATGGGCAGGTACAGTGGTGGGACCCTTGTGCCCGACCTGTGCCCGCGGCCCGGCCACACGGCCCAGCGCGCAGGGGCTCCCCAGGGACCACCAGTGTGACGCCCACCCTGCTGTGCCCAGGTACTTCAAACAGATTGTCAAGTCAGCCCGTGCAAATGGGACAGCAGGGCCCACCGAGGACCACACTGATGACTTCCTGGGGTGCCTCAACATACCTGTCCAGGTGGGTGGGCACAGGGAGTGTCGGGGTGCTGCAGGTAGGCACTGGGGTGCCCCAGCCTTCCTAGGCATTTCCAGTGCCCATGTCCTGCGGTCCCCTGAGCCGTGCACACCCCTGGGGCTGTGGGGCACCTGCAGGGGCAGGGAGGACTGGGCCTCTGCAGAGAGTTCCATGGCGGAGGGAGGGGCGCAGCCTGCCGTCTCTGACCCCTGCTCGGAGACCCCTGCCTCCCCAGGAGGTGCCTGTGGCTGGCGTCGACCGCTGGTTCAAGTTGGAACCGCGCTCCAGCGCGTCCCGTGTGCAGGGGGACTGCCACCTGGTCCTCAAGCTGATCACCACGCAGGTGGGGAGCGCCGGCCCCGCCCTGCCCCCACGGACCGCAGGGGGTGAGGGGCAGCCAGTGACAGCACTCTGTTGCAGAGGGACACGGCCATGAGCCAGCGCGGGCGATCTGGCTTCCTGTCCTACCTGCTGCTGCTCAGCCGCCTGCTGCAGTTCGAGCACCGCGCCGAGGAGGTAGTGGGCGCCCTCAGGATCCCGGCGGCCGCGGCGCGGGGCTGGGGCGGGGCTGGGGCTGCTCCTTGCCCCCGCCCACGCCCAGCCTCCTCCCCCAGCCCAACTCCAGCAGCTGGCGCGGAGAGCTCAGCGCGCCCGCGGCCACCGTGCTCTGCCTGCACGGGGCGCAGAGCAACCTGTCGCCCTTGCAGCTGGCCGTGCTGTGAGTGGCCGTGGCAGGGGCGGGGTTGTTAGTGGGCGGGGGCGAGGCAGGGGCGGGGCTGTGGGTGGGCGTGGCGGGGCGGGGCGCAGCCTGACTACCCGCTGGCCCCAACAGGCACTGGCAGGTCAGCAGCCGCCACCATCAGACCCGCACGCTGGACTATGGCTACTTGCTGGGGCTGCTGGAGGACTTGCAGGTGCACTGGGAGGAGGCGGCCTCGCTGCCCCAGGAGCAGGTGCGCGGGGCACCGGAGGAGGGAGGCTGTGGCTGGGCCGGCTGGGTTGAGAACTGGGGGACAAGCCCAACGGCTGCTGTGGGAGAGAGCAAGTGCTCTGCAGGAGATGGGCGAGGGCCGGGGCAGGGAGGATGCATCCCGGCACCAGTGGCCGCGCGGGGCTGCTGGCACTGGCGTCTCCGGCTCTGAAGGGCCCGTCCCCCAGGAGGAGAGCCTGGCTGACAGCTTTTCCGCGTTCTCTGAGTTTGGGCTGCGGCTGCTGCGCCAGCTCCGAGACTACTTCCCCGCCACCAACAGCACAGCCGTCTACCGCCTGGAGCTGCTGCTCAAGTGGGTGCAGCTGCGGCGGGGGCGGGGGCGGGGGCGGGGGCGGGGGCTAGTGGGGCAGGCTCTGAGTTACCGGCTGCCTTCACCCAGGTGTCTCAGCAAGCTGCAGCTCTTCCAGCCCTCCTTTGAGATCTGTCCCTTTGAGACGGAGCTGAACATGGACATTGCTGCCGCCCTGAAGGTGTGTTTCGTGCCCAGTCTGGGTCAGCCACTCGGTCCCTGCCCTCCCCCGCTGGGCTGGCCCTAGACCTCTGTACCACGGTCCCCTGCCACAACTCCCTTGTCCCTCTGACCCACAACCCTGCCTTGGTGGCTTCTGTTGCAGAGAGGCAACCGGGAGTGGTACGACAGGCTGCTGAACGCCAAGAGTGCTCGAGAGCAGGTGTGGCTCTGGGGGCTGGGCTGTGTGGGTGAAGGTGGGCCGAAAGGTCGGAACGAGCCAGGCTTCCTTGCAGCCCGGGCCCCAGCGCCTTCCTGGGCTCATTGAGCTAGCCGACGCCATCTATGATGACCTGCAGTCCTGCTTCAGCATCTATGCCAGCCTCTTCCACAGGTGGGGCTGGGGGCTGGGGTGCAGGGGTGGGTGGAGACCAGCAGGGCCTTCTGTCAGGGAGCAGGTGGCCGAGACACATCCTTTTCAGCATCCTCAAGGTGGACTTCTTCACCCTTACCTTCCGGCAGCTGGAGCGTCTGGTGAGGAGGGTCCCCGTGCTCGGCCCTGGTGCCTGCAGGGTGTGGGGAGTGGCAGGAGGCCCTGGGAGGGGGCTGGGTTTCCTTGTTGCCAGTGGCCTGACTCCACCCTGTTGGGCAGGTGGCTGAAGAGGCATGGGTCCTGACAGAGGAGCTGAGCCCCAAGATGACCCTCCAGGTGGCCTCGGGACTCTTTGAGCTCTACTTGACTCTGGCGGACATTCAGCGGTTCTGGAGCAGCATCCCTGGCCGGTGGGTGCCCCTCCACCTGCTCCCCACCCTGCAGCTGGGCTCTGGAACTAGCGCCAGGGCCCTGTGAGGGAGGCCCTTCTGGGTGCTCCTGGGCTGTGCACCCAGGACAGGCTGGCTTTAGGTGTCTGAGTCAAGGATGAGCTCTGACCAGCCTCCCACCACAGGGACAGCCGCTCCCTGGCCCTGGCCGGCATCCACGCTCCGTTCCTGCCTGCCGTGAAGCTCTGGCTGCAGGTACTGCGGGACCAGACCAAGTGGCGGCTTCAGGGAGCCGTGGACATGGACACGGTGAGTGCCCAGGCCTGAGGACACTGGGGCATGTCTGGGCCTCCCAGCAACCCAGGCTCCCTGCTTTTCCAGCTGGAGCCCACGGACACCACCTCCAAGCACAGCAGCTCCGCAGCCACTGCTGGCCTCTGCTTCAGCCACGTTCAAGAGCTCTGGCTCCGCCTGGCGTGGCCTGACCCGGCACAGGCCCAGGTGCTGGGCACCCAGCTCAGCCAGGTGCGAGGGTGCTGGGGGGTGAGGGCAGTGGGCTGGAGATGCAGTGGGGGGGGCAGCAGGCCCAGGGGAGGGGCCCACAGGTCCCCAACCCCTCTCCCACCCCAGGACATGTGTGAGGCTGTCCTCTTCTACACGGAGCTGCTTCGGAAGAAGGTGGACACTCAGCCCGGGGCTGCTGGTGAGACAGTGAGCGAGCCAGTAAGTGGGCAGGTGGGGGGGCAGGCAGGAGGCTGGGTGGGGCCCCCACCCCAGGCCCTGGACCCCAGACCCACCCCCCCTCTGGACACACCTCCCCCAGCTCTGCGTGGTCCTCAACAACGTGGAGCTCGTGCGCAAGGCTGCCGGGCAGGCCCTGCGGGGCCTGGCGTGGCCGGAGGGGCCCTCGGGGCTTGAGGGGGTGCTTCCCCGCCCCCTGCTCAGCTGCATGCAGACTCTGGACGAGGACCTGCAGCGGGAGGCCCGCACTGTGACGGCGCACCTGACCTCCAAGGTGGGCAGGAGGGCAGGGCCCGGGGACCTGGGCCTGGGCGGCTGTGCCTGGTGCCCCTGTGCCTGTGCTGAGTGCCACGCCTCCCTCAGATGGTGGGCGACATCCGCAAGTATGTGCAGCACGTCAGCCTCTCCCCCGACTCCATTCAGAATGAGGAGGTGAGCGTCTGGGCCGGGGGTGGAGTGTGTCGGGGGAGGGTGAGGCTGAGGACGGCTGGCCCTGAGGACTGCTGCCCGCAGGCTGTGGCCCCGCTCATGAAATATCTGGACGAGAAGCTGGCCCTGCTGAACACCTCCCTGGTGAAGGAGCACCTGAGCAGGTACTGGATGTGCGGGGGTGGCGTGGGGGGTGAGGCTGTGAGGTCACTGACGCTGCACCCTGCAGGGTGCTGGAGGCCCTCTGGGAGCTGCTCCTGCAGGCCATCCTGCAGGCACTGGGCGCAGACCGAGACGTCTCTGCTGACTTCTATGGCCGCTTCCACTTCACACTGGAGGTGAGGCCACGTGGGGTTGCCTTCCCACTGGCTCTGCATGACCAGGCAGTCCTGACACCTCCCTTCATTCCCTCCCACGCCCTGCGGGCACACCAGGTCTCCTCTGCTGGGAGGGCAGCCATCCAGGGCCCCACCAGGCAGCACTTCCTCCTAGTGGTCTGGCCTCCAGTGCCAGCACCGCCCCGGCTTGCTGGGCTTCTGACGCCAGGTGTGGGAAGCAGCTCTGCCCCAAACTGGAGACTCTGGTGCTGCTTGGGGTCCCACCTGTCCCTATCCCCAGCACAAACCAGGCTCTCTCAGGTATCTCCCTTCTTTCCCTGTGCCAGGCCCTGGTCGGTTTTTTCCATGCCGAGGGCCAGGGCCTGCCCCTGGAGAGCCTGCGGGACGGAAGCTACAAGGTGAGGCCAACTCTTCTGGGGGAGGGGGCGGACGTGGGGACCTGAGTTCAAACTGAGGCCCACAGTAGCCGCACCCTCGAGCATGAAACGGCCCCACCAGGCGGCCACGAGGAGTTAACGGTGTCCTCTCCTGCCACCTCCCCTGCAGAGGCTGGAGGAGGAGCTGCGGCTGCACAAGTGCTCCACCCGCGAGTGCATCGAGCAGTTCTACCTGGACAAGCTCAAGCAGGTAGGGGCCGCTGCGGGCGGGCATACAGCCCCACCCAGGGAGCCCGTCCTGCTCACTGGCCTTTCTGCAGAGGTCCCTGGAGCAGAACCGGTTTGGACGCCTGAGCGTCCGGTGCCATTACGAGGCGGCCGAGCAGCGGCTGGCCGTGGAGGTGCTGCACGCCGCCGACCTGCTGCCCCTGGACGCCAACGGTGAGGTGCGGTGCTGCCAGGGTGGGCGGCGTGGGCCGGGCCGGGCAGGCCATCTCATGGCTGCGCCCCTCAGGCCTGAGCGACCCCTTTGTGATCGTGGAGCTGGGCCCGCCGCACCTCTTCCCGCTGGTCCGCAGCCAGAGGACGCAGGTCAAGGCCCGCACGCTGCACCCGGTGTACGACGAGCTCTTCCACTTGTGAGTGCCCAGCACCACCTGAGCCCCTGCCCCACGCGCCCCGGGCAGGCTCAGGTGACAGGCCTCTGTCTGCAGCTCTGTGCCTGCAGAGGCGTGCCACCGCCGCGGGGCCTGCGTGCTGTTCACGGTCATGGACCACGACTGGCTGTCCACCAACGACTTTGCCGGAGAGGCGGCCCTTGGCCTGGCCGGCGTCAGTGGGATTGCACGGCCCCAGGTGGGAGGGGCCGTGAGGGCTGGGCAGCCTGTCACCCTGCACCTGTGCCGGCCCAGAGCCCAGGGTGAGTGCACGTTTCCGTGTCGGCGGGGGCTGGGGCGGCTGGCCTGACCTGGCTCCCACACGGCTGTCCGCCGCCTGCAGTGAGGTCGGCGCTGCGGATGCTGGAAGGGCGCGGCAGCAAGGAGGCACAGGAGTTCGTCAAGAAACTCAAGGAGCTGGAGAAGTACATGGAGGCCGACCCCTGAGCCCCCACCCCCAGCCCTCCCCAAGTGCCCTGTGGTGTCCTGCTCACCGTGGCTAGCTTTGTGCAGCCAGCACCCATGGCGCCCCTCCCAGCTGTGTGACGTGTGTGCTGTGGCTGGACCCCTGGCTTCCACCTGCCCTGGCTGTGTCCCTGTGCTGTGTGCTGTGAACCGTGTGCCCCAGCCCCCAGTCTGGGTAGCCAGCTCGGCAGGACCTGGCCAGCAGCTGCCCCCTGGACACAGCGGATGACAGTGGGCCTGGCTACAGGTGGGCTTCTCCACCCATGACCTTGGACAGGTGGGCGGGCACCTGGTCTTGGTGGCTTTGCTCCCTAGGGGACACGGGGCAACGTCTGGAGATGTTTTTGGTGGTTGCCACTGGGGAGTGCAGGGGGTTGGGGGGACTATGGGAACCAGTGGGTAGAGGCCGGGGGGGCGCTGCTCAGCATCCTGCCATCAATCAGCCCCTGACAGAGCCACAGGGCAGAGCCCCATGGCAGAGGAAGCTCCCTCTTCTGTCTCTGTAGGGGGAGGGCGAGGCCTCCGCAGGCCTGAGGGGCAGGAAGGCCGGTGATGAGGTTTGGGCAGCCCAAGCCTTGGAGGGAAGCAGCTCCTGGGACCCAGGTGCAGGCAGTGGTGAGAGCATGGTGTGTTCAGTGGCCCTCTCCCGGCTGTGGAATCCTCCACCCAGAGTGGATGTGGAGGGCAGGTCTGCTACGAACTGCACAGGCCTCCACTCCCCACCGGGCTCTAGGCCTGGGAGAGGTTCCCGCAGGGTCACTCTGTGAAGCTGTGGCTATCAACCAAGGCGGTGGTCAGTGTAAGGAGCTCCGTGCCCACTGGTCACTGTCCTTTCACATACACATACGTGACCACACAGGACTTATTCTGTGGCCCAGACCCTTCCTTACCAGAGACCAAGAGTCCTCCAGCCCCTACCAGGCCCAGCGCAAAGAACCAGACTCACACAGGGGCTCCTTCCCAGCCAGCAGCTTCATTGAGAGGCTCCAAGGCGGGACCCAGAGCAAGGCCGTGAGAAGCTGGATGGCCAGTCCTCTGGGGGCGAGACCGCCAGGCCTGCCTGTGTTCCCATGTCTCTCAATTTCCTTGTCACCCAGTCTCTGCAATACACACGCCTGCAACCTTCAGTCTCTCTGCCGCTTCTTGATTCCTTTCCAAATCTCGGTTGGGGTCCTGGCCGCAGCCCCTTGTTCTGGAGTCTCTCCCTCTTTGGAGCAGCTGCTGCTGTCCTCAGCGTCAAGCTCTTGTTCCTCAGACTCGTCACTGTCATCAGTGTCCGGGGATAGCCTGGAAGGGGGAGCATGTTCTCCAACGTCGTCGTCCCTGGCCAGCCTGAGGCTCCCCTCCCTGTTGCACTCATCCACCCCTGGGCTGAGGACAAATTTATCTTATGCCCCACACCCTCTAACCAGAACCTCTCTAGGGGGACACCCCCTTCCTACTTCTCAGGCAGAAAAGCACCCACTGCCATGCAGCAGGAAGGGCTGGGGCCAAAGGTCAAGGAGAGCTTGGATCTGAGCTACCACGAACTGGGAAGCCCAAGGACCTACCGGTTGCTGGCCACAGGCCTGTTGAGGTTTGCAAACTCTCGCCCTGAATCCACATCAAAGGGGTCTGAACCAAGAGAGGAAAGCGATTAAACTCAGGACAGAACCAAACCCCCAACCCTCAGACTTTTCAAAAGGGGGTGGCAGGCCTGGGAGGTCTCAGCTCCCACCGTGCCAGGGCTCACCGATCTCCTCTTCCTCGGGGCTCTCCTTGGGGCTGGCCAAGAACTCCTGCTCTGCCCGCAGCACCTCCTCTGGGCCACTGCAGGCCGCATACTTGTCCAAGAGCTGGCGGTTCAGGTCCAAGAAGCCCTTGCCCCACTTAAATTTCCGCAGTAAGATTATAGCAAGGTCTGAAAAGCCTGATGGTGCAGAAACAGGAAACCCAAAGACGTTGACAATCCTTTCAAGAATGTGCCCTGATCCCCCTGAGTGATGGGTAGTGCTGCTGTGCCAGGTAACTGTGGGGCGCCCAACAAACACCAACTTACACCCCTGACAGCTCCTGCCCGGCCTTCACCTCCCTTGCTACAATCTGCAGCTGCTTGGTGTGCAGCTACAATCTGCTGCCCACTCAGCCCCTCCCCTTTGCTGAGAAACACAAACATCCCCACAAAGGCCTCCACCCCTCCTGTGTCTCCTTCTGGGCCTCTCTGGACCCCAGATGCCAAGGACAAGTTGGGGAGCTTATCAGGACAGTGCTGACAAGGATAGTGGCACCAGCCCTCGCCGGGCAGCTGGAGGCATTCTGCCTCCACTCAACCACACAGGGCCTAAGCTTTTTAAATTTGTTTAGTATTTTGAGACACAGTCTCGCTCTGTTGCCCAGGCTACAGTGCTCTGGCATCAGCCCAGGTCACAACAACCTCCAACTCCTGGACTCAAGTTATCCTCCTGTCTCAGCCTCCCGAGTAGCTGGGACTACAGGCATGTGCCACCACACCTGGCTAATTTTTCTATTTTTGGTAGAGATGGGGGTCTCGCTCTTGCTCAGGCTGCTCTTGAATTCCTGAGCTCAAGCGATCCTCCTGCCTCAGCCTCCCAGAGTGCTGGGATTACAGTGTGAGCCACTGCACCTACCCAGGGCCTAAGCTTTAAGTGGGACTGGTGACTGAAACCCTGGCCTGTCCTGACCACCTCCTGTACATTCCTCACATTCTCCTGGTTTCTACCCACAGAACAGCTGGTGTCGGGCCCTAAAACTCACCTACTATGCAGAAAGTGGCAGCAAAAGCCTCCACACAGGAAAGTTTGCAGGGCCGGCCATAGTTCACAGGGTTGGCAGCCACCAAGTAGGGCAGCAGCCGCAAGTGGCTCCCCCGCATCTTCCCAAATGGTGTCTCATCCAGTCGGGCCCAGGAGCAATCAATCACAGCGACCCCAGACTGTGCCACTAGCTGTCTGTCAGGAACAGCATATGGTTAAGGTGAAGTATGTCCCTGGAGACTGGCCTTGCTAGGGAAACGAGGACATCACTCCCTATCCCCAAAGGGCCCTCATGAGCAAGCTTTCCAGACAGCTGCGTGGGGTACCTGGCCAATGCTCATTTATTCACTCAACAAACGTTTATCCTAGGCCCTGCTCCATCCCAAGCTCTGCACTAGGTAGTGGGGGCACACCTGGCAGACACGTTCCCTGTCCACGCGTGGAGGGTGTGTGTGTATGATACACAAGTACAAATAAGTGAGCCCTGAAAACAACGATGTGCTGCTGGAGAGAAGGCGGCTTATTAAGAGGAGGAGACAAAGCAGGCACCCGCCCCTCCCCAGTCCCCAGCGCCTACCTGTCTGCTGGGGACACGTACTGGGAGCCCACGGGGCTGAGCACGAGGCCGCCGAACCTGTGGCCCAGGCGCAGGCAGCGCACCAGCCCCAGGCGGGCCAGCTTGCGGCCGGTGCAGCGCCGGGGGTCGCAGTGGCCCAGCTCCCACATGGCCAGCGCGCAGGGCAGCGCCGCCGGGCCCGGGTCGCCGTCGCCCTCGCCCTCGGCCGCCGCTGGCTCCACCGACGCTGCGCCGGGAGAGAAGGTACCGGGCTCAGCGCGAGCTCCGCGGACGGCCCCCGCCCCGCCGGTCCCCCCACGTCCCCCGTTCCCCGCTCACCGCGCAGCGCGGCGCCCACGTCCCGGGCGAAAGCATCGAGGGAGCGGCCGGGGAGGTGCCGAGCGCGGCCGCCTTCCTCCCCCGGCCCGCGCGCTGCCCTCCTGCGGCCCATGGCGGGGAACCGGGTCCCCGAGACCCGCGAGACCCCAGGCGCACCCCTTAGCCGTCAGGTAACCGCTTTAGCTGTCGCGTCTGCGCACGCGCGGGATGCCACTTCCGGTTCCCGCCGCCACGTGACCCAGCAGGCGCCCACATGACCGCCGCCGAACTATGGCGGCGAAGGCGGCGTATGTCCTGCTGCTCCTCGGGCTCGCGGCGCGCGGTTAGTGGCCCCGCGTGTCCCCACCCCCACCCCTTCCGCGCCCCCTGCATCTCCTCACTGACCCCCTCCCCGCAGGGCCCGCAGGCGCCGCCAAGATGAAGGTGGTGGAGGAGCCCAACACGTTCGGGTGAGCGGCGAAGCGGGGCGGCTTGGGCCGGTAGTCCCGGGCCGGTTCCCCGCTGACCCCGCCGCTTCCCGTAGGATGAACAACCTGTTCGTGCCCCAGAGCAGCCGTCTGCAGCCCAGGAGGGAGCCGGCGCCCGTGTCTGGTGAGTGCAGAGCCCGGGCGGCGCGCGCGCGGGGCTCCGGTTGGGAGGAGGGGCGGCCTTGGACGCGGGACCCTGCAAGTGAGGCCCGGAATCTCGAGCCTCGGTTTGTCGACTTTCTGAAATGAAGGGTTAAGCGCACGGGGATATACCACGGCGTTCCCGTACCGAGTTAGTTATCTCCGGACTTCTTCATTTCCTTTTGTAGAGGTAATCGCTGTTAAATCTGAGTAGAAAACGTGCAGTAAGTTTTTGTGATTCTTGTCTGTTTTGAAACACAGTGATACTACACAAGTACTTTGCTACTTTGTCACTCGCTGTGTGTCTTGAATTCTTCATGGTGGTTGATATAGGTCTTCATTCTGCTCGCTTGGTGCTTGGTCCCCACAGGATGGCTGTGCATTTCTCTATTGGCACCTAATGCACTGAGGTTGTTTACAGTTTTTGGCCGTTAGAAGTAGTATTGTGGGCTGAGCATGGTGGCTCACGCCTGTAATCCTAGTACTCTGGGAGGCTGAGGCAGGCGGATCAAGGGCAGGAGTTCGAAACCAGCCTGAGCAAGAGTGAGACCCCGTCTCTACTAAAAATAGAAAGAAATTAATTGGCCAACTAAAACTATATATATATATAAAATGAGGTTGGTCCGAGTGCAGTGGTGTTTACGACTAATTGATCACAACCAGTTACAGATTCCTTTGTTCCTTCTCCACTCCCACTGCTCCACTTTCGGGAGGCTGAGGCAGGAGGATCACTTGAGCCCAAGAGTTTGTGGTTGCTGTGAGGTGGTTGATGCCAGGGCACTATAGCCTGGACAACACAGTGAGACTCTGTCTCAAAAAAAAAAAAAAAGAAGTAGTATCATGGAGAAGATCCCTTTGTAGGTGCCTGTCTCTACCCTGTGTGAGTGGCTTCCCAAGGCAAGATTCCAGAAGCGAAGTTGCTGGGTCATAGAGTATGTGCATTTTGAACATTGAATGAGTACTAAATATAAGAAATAAAAATCGAAAAGAGGGTCTGTGCTGGGGTTGCAGCAATGAACAAAACACACCAGTGCTTGTCCTCATGGAGCTGACAGTCTAATGGGAATGGAGGAGAAGGCAATGACCAAAGAAGTAGGTGAAAATATGTAGACTGCTCAGTGATGAAAAATGCTGTGTAGGTATGTGAGGCAGAGAAGGGAGTGTTTGGGGACTGCCATTTTAAACAGGGTGGTCAGGAGAAGTCTTAAGAAATGACATTTTGGCCAGAAGCTGAAGGAGGAAAGGGAGTGAGCACTGTGGCTATCTGGTGGGAGGGGTCCTGCAAAGGGACTTTGAGCAGGGAAGCCGGGGCCAGAGGGAACTGAGCGGGGCCAGTGGAGGGTGAGGTTGGGGATACTGGGGCCAGATAATGCAGCACCATGTTTGTGGTTTGTTATGTGGACTCTGACTCTGAACAAAAGTATTTAAAGTTTTTGTTACTAAAAGTATGAAGTAGAAACATGGGAAGAATGAGAGGAGACACCAGCATGCTCTCTCTTCACAGCAGCACAGCAGTTAACATTGTGCCATGCTTGCTTTGTCTTCTCCTTCTGTTGTCATTTTTTAAAAAGTGAATATTCTGTGAACCACTTAAAAGTAGATTATAGACATCATGACTCTGATCCCAAATACTTCCAGTGTGACTCTTCCACCCCCCTCAGATTAGCAGTGATTCTGTAATGTAACCAGTGCGTATCCAAACTTCCCCAGTGTGTCAAGAATGCCTTTTGTCATCCTCTTCACCGAGTTTCCCAGCCAGGGCCGGTCAGGGTTCACATGTGCATTTGGCTAATTACGTCTCTTGAGTCTTTTAATCTGGAACAGCCCCCTCCCCCTTTATTTATTTTTTTAGATGTTTATGACATTGACTTTTGTGGGGGGGCGTTGTTTGTTTTTGAGAAAAGCTAGCATGAAGCACTTTTGTTGCAGTAATAAAACTTGGAACTCATATGTGGTGCAGGATGAGGGTGCCGCAAAAATTTCTCTCACCAAATCACTACACAGGACAGCAAAGGGGGAAGGGATTGAGGGAAGAAAAGCCAGGAACCTGAGAGCCACGCATGAAAAACAGGAGATGCTGAAGCTGTGGTGACCAGTGTAGTTTTTTCTTTCGGAAAGAGTATTGCTCTGTCACCCTGGCTTGAGTGCAATGGCACCATTATAGCTCACTGCAGCCTCAAATTCCTGAGCTCAAGCAATCCTCCTGCCTCAGTTTCCTGAGTAGCTGGGACTATAGGCACTTGCCACCACACCCTGGTAGGTTTGTTTGTTTTTGTTTTTTTTTTTTCTTCAGTAGAGACAGGTCTCTCTATGTTGCCCAGGCTGGTCTTCAACTCCTGGCCTCAAGCAGTCTGCACACCTTGGCCTCTCAAAGTCCTGGGATTACAGACATGAGCCACTGTGCCTGCTGAGGGCTTTCAATTTAACCCAAGGACATCTCTCAACTTGGGAATAATTGAGCCCTCAGGGGCGGCTCGTATCTGCTAGAGCTTTGCAGCACAGCAGCAAGAATGTTTAGTATATAACAGGTAGAAATTTCATCCAAAAGAGAAGATTCTTGGAAACCCCACCTAACGCCAGTTCTTATTCTGAAGTTAACCCATCACCTGTGCTGTTAATACTTGACTGTATACTTAATTGGAAACCTAGATCCAAAAGACTGAAACTGAATCTTCAGCCCCAAATAAAAACAAAATAAAATGAGTAACTTGAGCTACGGTGGATAGTTTAGGTAAACACATGTATGAGGAGGAGGGGAAGGGGAGGAGACGGAAGTGTTAGAAGCCATGGGACATGGTCTGTGGTGGCTGCAGGAGGGCTGGGCTGGTGTCCAGAGCTGTGGCTTCTTATGTCATTAATGCAGTTATTGCCTGTGTAGCGTATATGTAATGGTTTCAACACTCCAGGAAATACGTGTTCTTGAGTCACTTTAGATGATTGTTTTCACTGTGAGGTGACCTTACTAATCATACACAGTAAGATTAATTTGTTTTGCTTTGTTTTCCATTTATGGACTTATTTCGTCTTTTTTGCTTTATATTTGAACATGTACATGTGAAAACATTTACATGCTGGGTTTTGGTGTTTTCTTGACTTCTGGAAGTTCTGTACGTCAGGAACTTGACTTCTTTATCTTGATGTAGATGGACCTGCTTTTTGGCAGTTTATCATCTTTCCATCTTGTTGATGGTGTTTTTCTGTGGACGTCTCTAGCTGTGTCGTCAGGTGCGTGTGTGTTAGGTGCTTGCTTCTTTCTGTGATGTGACACTCCCTCAACATGAACCACACAGTGGATCTTGTGCACAGGACCGCATGGCCTGAAGCCACACAGGCCCACCTGCTCCAGGGAGCCTGCCGTCTGTCGAGAGAGCCTAGCAGAAAGATGAGGCTGAGGAGGGCACTGTCATGGTCGTGGCCCAGGGCTTGGAGGTCCCAGCAGAGGCGGTGGCACCAGCTGGCCCCTGGAGGAGGGGTGCGGGCTTGCCAGGACCGGCAGGCCAGTAGGGCTGGGCCCCTGCGAGGTGATAGTTGGCCCCCGAGGGCCTGGGACTCCACCCCATCAGTGGGAGCCTCACCCCCTCACAGTGGAGCAGGCAGTGGCTAGTGGTTGTCGGGTCTGCGATTCGGAGCCTGTGTCCCTGAAGTGGCAGGAGGGGCAGTCAGGGCAAGGTGCTGGTGCCCACTGCGCCCCTGGAGGGTATTCTGGATTGGAGGTGGTGGTGGGAGGCAGCGGGCAGCCTGGAAGACTCCTGACGTTGGCAGGGCCTGGCCCCCGGTCTGGGCAGAGGGAGAGGGTGGAGCAGGGTGGCCCCTGGCTTTTGGCTGGAGAAGCCATGGTGGTGGCATCTCCCATGGGGGATGGGAGCCTGGGCCCAGCTGAGCTTGTGGAACAGGCCTGGTCGGTGCCTGGGGAGGGGTCATGGCTGACCGGGGGTTCAGGGTTCCTCATTGGGTGGGCGTGGGTGAGGCCCCCAGGGAAGTTGGTGGGTTGTGGAAACCAGGAGGCGATTGGTGCATAGGTGTGGGGCCAGGCCAGGGAGGCAGGGCCACCCTCAGGGGGGCTTGTCACCAAGAGACACGGGGCAGGGAAGGCCTCCCCGCCTCTGCTGGGTCTGATTCTGAGCCTGGGCAGCCGGGGAGGGAAGGAGGCACTCTGCACTCAGCCAGCCCCATGGGTCTCGAGCTGGGGCACAGGGGCAGCCGGTGGTGGGGGCGCCTGGGCCTGCCGGCAGAGGGCAGCAGTGAGCGTCCTAGCAGCCCAGACTGTGGTGCGCTGGCAGGTGAATGAGGAACCTGGGGATGGTCCCCGCCGGCAGGGGTAGTGCCGAGTCCAGCCCAGGTGTCCCGGTGTGTCTGGCTCAAGGGGAGCGGAGTGGACACCTGCAGACAAGAGTGGGGCCGGGCGTCTGCACAGATGCCCGTACCCATGTCGAGAAGGACGGGGGGAGGGAGCTGGAGGAGGAGAGGGCGACCAGGTAGGAGGGGGCCAGGGGCTACACTCAAGGGACTTGGTGGCCCCATGACTGACGAATGCCAGCGTGGTGGCCTCGTGGTACCATCCCCTGGATGAGGGTGAGCATCTGGAGGCTGGAGCCCCCAACACCGGGGCACATTCTGGGGCCAGCCACACATGTGCGTGAGCGAGCAGACCGCTGCAGGCTGCCTCCCGCCACTGCCGGCCTGTGCGCCTGGAGGGCCCTCCGGTCCAGGTGGCAGGGTGGGCACGAGGGGGCTGAGGGCGGTAGGTGAGCCTGGGGGTGGGGGCCGCCCACACGCGCCAACCCACAGGAGGGGACCCAGGTGTGTCCTGTGTCCTCAGGTAGGGACAAGCGCCATAGCCCCAGGGGAGCGCCACAGCCCCAGGGGAGAGCCACAGGCCAGGGAACTAAACTCCAGGCAGGCTCTCCAGGGGCAGGGGCAGGGGCAGGCTCAGGGTGGCCTTGGACAGTGGTTCTCCGGTACCAGCTTCTGGCTCCTGCAGGAGGAAGGGCAAGCACCGGGTTACCAAGGACCGTCACCCTGAACTTCCCTTGTGTTTATTTTGGTTTTTAACAGAAAAAGTAACACTGCAGGTAGCTTTTGAAAAAAGAAAAAAACCCAACAGCGGTGCCACCCAGGTTTGGAATAGCACAGCCCGCTCCAGCGCAGAGGCCCCGTGGCCCACTAGATGGGGGTGGGGACAGATGCGCCAGGTCCCCTCCCTGCTGCCATGGCCCAACCCAGCCCCAGCTTTCTGACAGCCCGGGAAAATGACAGGCCTGTAGCTGACTTAGCCAGTCCCTGTGGACGCCGGACTGCAGGTGACACTGAATCAAACCGTGTTTCAACTCGCAAGTTGCCTGCAGAACGGGTGTTTTAAGTAGAAAATATCATTTCTCCTCACTAGAGGCTGCTTTGGGCATTTTTTGCTCCTGAGTTGCCATTGGTCTTGGTTTGTCAAAGCTCCTGTTTTTGTCGTCTGTGAGCAGAGACTGCTCATGTAGCCTATCTTTTCCTTCAGCATTGTGTGTGGCATTTGCCAGGCCTTAACTTAGGTCTGGTTCTTTGTTTTTTTGAGACAGAGCGTCACTCTGTCCCCTTGACTAGAGTGCAGTGGCGTCATCACAGCTTACTGCAGCCTCCACCTCATAGGTTCAGGCGATCTTCCTGCCTCAGCCTCCCGAGTAGCTGGGACTGCCATGCCCTGCTAGTTTTCTATTTTTGTAGCGATGGGGTCTCGCTCTTGCTCAGGCTGGTCTCGGACTCCTGAACTCAAGTGATCCTCCCACCTTGGCCTCCCAGAGAGCTAGGATTATAGGTGTGAGCCACCACACCTGGCCATAGTTCTAGTTCTTGTGCTGCTTTTGTATTAATGTGTATTCTATCACAGTAAAAAACAAAATGTAGAATTTGCCATTTTAATCGTTTTCCAGTGTACAGCTCTACGTCCTTTGCACTGTTGTGCAACCATCGCCACTGTCCATCCCCAGAACCCTTTTCGGCGTCACGGATTGAAACTCTGCGCCATTAAACACTAACTCGCGGTTCCCTCCCGGCCAGGTTCCCTCCCCACCAGCCCCAGGAACCGCTGTTCTACTTTCTGTCTCTGTGAACTTCACTGTTCCAGGGACCTCCTCATACAACGTGCGACCTTTTGTGTCGGGTTTCTCTCTCAGCATGACGTCCCCAGGTCCATCCAGGTTGTAGCGTGATTAGCCCTTCACTTTTCTTTATGGGCATGTCCTGTTGTGTGGCAGACACATTTTCTTTGCCCAGCAGTTTATTCAAGTAATTCATTTGCAGACACGTGCAGGTAGCTTCCACCTCTGGCTGTGAACACGCCAGTGCTGGTCACTGGTTGAGTCTCTGCTCCAGTTCCTGGGCGCAGATTTGCTGAGTCGCAGGAGGATTCTGTGCGGCTCTTTGCAGATCCACCGATTGTTTGCCACGGCAGCCTTGAGGCACGAGGGTTCCGGCTTCTCATCCTTGCCAACTTGGCTTGCTGTTTTCAGGTTTTTTGATAAATGTCCTAAGGGCGTGCTAGTGGGTGTGAGGGGACACCTGGTGAGGTCCACCTCACAGTGGTTTTGGTTTGCGTTTCCCGAGTGATCGGTGTGTCTCGCCTGTTGTGGGCTGTGTCAGCCCAGTGTTAGCCTGGCTGGGTGGGAGTCCTTCACACATTCTGGATAGTGACCCTCGTCAGACGCTTGGCGAGCGTCTCTCCCGTGCTGTGGGCCGTCTGTCACGCTTTCTTTCGTTGCTTGTGCTTTCCTGTCATATCCCAGCAGTCGTTGCCAAGTCCATCGTGAGGAAGCTTTTCTCCTGAGAGTTTTATAGTTTTTGTGAATAACATTTAGGTCTTCTGTCCATTTGGAGCTGGTGTTTGTGCATGGCATGAGGTAACGGTCCAGCCTCATTCTTTTCCTGTGCACATGTGGTTTTCCCAGCGCCGGCTGTTGGAATGCCCGTCTTGTCCCCACTGAATGTTCCTGGCACCTTGTCACTTCACTGGCCTGTGGTCAGGGCTGATTCCTGGCCTCTGGGCTGCCTTCCCTTGGTCTGTGTGTCTGTCTTTATGCCAACGACACGCTGCTCTAATGACTGTAGCTTTGAAGTAATTTCTACAGTCGGTAAGTGTTAGTCCTCAACTCTGTTATTTTTCAAGATCGTTTTTATTATTTGGGGTCCTTGGAGCTGCCATATGAGTTTTAGGATGTGCTCTTCTATTTCTGCAAAAAAATATTCAGATTTTGATAGGGATTGCATTGAATCTGTAGTTCACTTTAGGTAGTACTGTCATCTTAAAAACACTAAGTATTTCAATCCCTGAACTCGGGATATCTTTCCATTTATTTGTGTTTTTAATATCTTTCAGTATTATTTTGTAGTTTTTAGTGTACAAGTCTTTTGCCTCCTTGGTTAAGTTTAGTTCTAAGTATTTCATTCTTTTTGATGCTGTTATAAGTGGAATTGCTTTCATAGTATTTATCAGTGTTTGAAATTCAACTGATTTTTGAAGGTCAATTTGGTACCCTGCAACTCTGCCTGAATTTCTTTATTGGCTCTAACATATTTATTGTGGAATCCTTAGGGCTTTCTGCAATGTAAGATTTGACATACAGATAATTTTATTTCTTTCTTTGCAATTTGGATGCCTTTTATTTGCTTTTCTTTTCTCTTTTTTTGAGAGAGAGTCTCACTCTGTTGTCCTAGCTAGAGTGCCGTGGCGTCATCCTAGCTCACAGTAACCTCAAACTCCTGGGCTCAAGCGATCCTCCTGCCTCAGCCTCCTGAGTATTTGGGACTACAGGCATGCACCACTATGCCTGGCTAATTTTTTCTATATATTTTTAGTAGTCCAGATAATTTCTATTTTTAGTAGAGATGGGGTCTCACTCTTGCTCAGGCTGGTCTCCAACTCCTGAATTCAAGCAATCCTCCCGCCTCGGCCTCCCAGAGTCCTAGGATTACAGGCGTGAGCCACCACGACCGGCCTTTATTTGCTTTTCTTGCCTGACTACTGCGGCTAGGACTTCCAGTGGAGCGATGAATGCAGTGCTGAGAGCATCTTGTCTTGTTCCTGGTCATAGAGGGAAGCTTCAGGCCGTTCCCTGGGGTCTGTATGTGTCCTTTATCAGACTGAGGATGTCCCTTTCTGTTCCCAGTTTGTTGTGTTTTTATCATGAAAGGGTGTTGGCTTTTGCAAGCTGCTTTGTCTGCGTTGCTCAAGGTGAACTGTGGTTGTCTCCCCTTCAGTCTGTTCCTGTGGTGCATTACAGTGGCCGATTTTCATGTGTGGAAACATCCTTGCCTTCCAGGAAAGAAACTTCACCTGGTTGTGGTGTATAATCCTTTCGATACACCGCTGTGTTCACTGTGCTGGTATGTTGTTGAGGATTTTTGCATCAGTTTTGTTTTTTTGAGACAGAGTCTAGCTTTGTTGCCCAGGCTAGAGCGCGTGCCCTGGCGTCAGCCTAGCTTACAACAACCTCAATCTCCTGGGCTCAAGCAATCCTGCTGCCTCAGCCTCCCGAGTAGCTGGGACTGCCATGCCCTGCTAGTTTTCTATTTTTGTAGCGATGGGGTCTCGCTCTTGCTCAGGCTGGTTTTGAACTCCTGACCTCGAGCAATCCGCCCGCCTCAGCCTCCCAGAGAGCTAGGATTACAGGCGTGAGCCACCGCGCCCGGCTAAAAAGTTAGGTTATTGATTTGAGGGATCTAAGCATGCACAGCTGGAAGCTTCCCTGGTAGCACCGCTCTGCCCTGACTGTGGTCTGGCATGTCCCGGGCATTGACCACTGCTCAAGAATGTGTTGATTTCCGTGTATTCGTGAATTTTCCAGTTTCTCCTCGGCCACTGATTTCTAGTTTCATTTTTATGATTAGAAACGACACAGTGTGGTTTCATTCTTTGTGCGTTCGTGGAGACTGGTGTCGTGGGGTGACTTCTGCTGTCGGGTCTGTTTCCTCTTCTCCCCACCGTGCCACCCGTCGTTAAAAGGGGGACATTCATGTCTCCAGGCATTAAGGTGGGACTATTTTTCTCTTCAGTTTTGCCAGTGTTTACTTCATGTCTGTGCACGTGTTAATATGACTGTTACACAGCCCTGGTGAGCTGACCTTCACATTCTGACTTAATAGAGTTTACCTGCTGTCAGGACAACGACCCAGCTCTTGCGAGACTGCTTGCAAAGAGTGTCTTTCCGAGCCTGCCCTTTCCTCCTTGTGTCCTCAGATCTAGTCTCTTACAGCGAGACCCTTTGTTCTTCTACTTGCTCCGCCTCTCTGTGCCTTTGAGCAGGGAGTTAATCTACGTACTCATGGTCACAATAAGGAGAACAAAACGCAAAAGAACGTAGTGATGCTTCCCGTTGCTTCTTTCATTCTTACCTCTCTGTTGGCTTTTGTTGTAGTGGCATATTTTGATTCCTTATGTTTTCTGTTGCCATTTCCTTTGTGGTTACCATGGGGATTATATATAAGAAACCCAAATTATTTAATCTGAATTTAAATTTGCCCCAACTTAACTTCAGTTACCTGCAGGAACTAATACTCCAGTTCTGGGCGCCCCAACTGTGTTTTTACGTTACAGATTACACCTTTATAAATCTATGTTGGGGGTACACAAGGTATAATTAGTTTTTATGCATCTGTCTTTTAAATCCCGTAGATTTAAAAGCTCGTGCACATATTTACCATCGACCAGTCACCTCGTGGCGTCCTGTGCACACAGGCCACCCTAGAAGACATGCCAGGGGGGCCGTCAGTGACGAGCTCCCAGGTCTGCAGGACAGTTTAGCTGGATGTACAATTCCCAGTCGGTTTGTCAGTTTTTTTCCATTGAATGAGACGTGTTTTCCTGTTTCTTTTGTACCCCTTGTGATTTTTTGTTGAAAACTGGTCATTTGGAAAAACAGGCTGCTCTGCCGGCCTTTGCAAGCTGGTTCTGGGTATGTCCTGAGCCTCAGGGTCAGCCTGAGGTTCAAGGTGACTGTCCCCAGGTCCCTGTGTGCGTGGCTGCTCTGAGTGTCTCTGAGCACCCCCAGCTGCTGCTGGGCTCTCCGTGGTCTGTCATGTGTCCACCCGGCCCTAGGGCCCTGCTGCCTTCCCAGGCAGCCACGGGCCCTCCTGAGCCCTGGGTAGGCAGCGTGAGACCAGCACAAACACCACAGAGCTCGTCCTGCTGGTTTCAAAGTGGCCTTTTGTTGGGGGGCTGCTCACCGGCTGCTGGAGACCAACTCTGTGAGGTTGGCTCAGCCAGTTCCCGGTGCTCTGGTTTCCACGGGAACCGAGCTGGGAGCTTCCTGGTCTGGCATTTCGCTGACATCAGTCAAGCTCTCGTGCTTTGTTTTTAAGGCTTTGCCCCCTTGACAGCCCCTACCCTCACAGGGGGTCCGCTTCTCCACTGGCCTGGTGCCGCCGTCACCACCTCACCTGCTGCTCTGCTCTCCTAGGGCCCGAGCACCTCTTCCGGCTCGCTGGCAAGTGCTTCAGCCTGGTGGAGTCCATGTACGTGGGGTCTTAGGGGAGGGGTGGGGTGGGTGGAGGCAGGGGCCCCGGGACCCCCTGACGCTGCCTGTGCCTGCAGGTACAAGTACGAGTTCTGCCCGTTCCACAACGTGACCCAGCACGAGCAGACCTTCCGCTGGAACGCCTACAGCGGCATCCTTGGGTGAGCAGGGCGTGGGCGGGCGGTGCTGCAGCCCCGGGCCCAGCCTCACGAGTTCCCCCCCCCTCCAGCATCTGGCAGGAGTGGGAGATCACCAACAACACCTTCGCCGGCATGTGGATGAAGGACGGCGACTCCTGCCGCTCCCGGAGCCGGCAGAGCAAGGTGGGGCTGTGAGGACGGGTGCCGGGAGGAGGGGCCTGGCGCCCCCAGCCCGCCCATCAAGGTCCCCTCCCCAGGTGGAGCTTACCTGTGGGAAAAGCAACCGACTGGCCCACGTGTCCGAGCCCAGCACGTGCGTCTACTCGCTGACGTTCGAGACCCCCCTCGTCTGCCACCCCCACTCCTTGTTAGGTAGGTCGCTGGGCTGCGGCTGGGGGGCGGGTGCCGGGGCTCGGCCAATCAGGTGTGGTTGGATCCTCAGTGTACCCTGCGCTGCCGGAGGCCCTGCAGCAGCGGTGGGACCAGGTGGAGCAGGACCTGGCCGATGAGCTGATCACCCCCCAGGTGAGTGAGCACAGATGGGCACCCCTGGCTGGCCCCCTGGGGAGCAGGGTGCTCCATCTGCTGCCTCCACCTCCAGGGCTATGAGAAGTTGCTGAGGGCGATCTTCGAGGATGCCGGCTATTTAATGACCCCAGGAGAAAACGGACCCGTGTTGCAGGAGGGGGCGCCCGCAGGCCTGGGGTTCGAGACCCTGGAAACCTGCAGAAAGGTACAGAGCTGGGGAGGGGCCCTGGACATGGCAGCTGCCCACCAAGCGTCTTGACCTTTCCCTTGAACCCCCTTGTCCTAGGCACACGCAGAGCTGTCAAAGGAGGTAAAGAGGCTCAGAAGTCTGCTCGCCCAGCACGGCATCCGCCACGCAAAGCCCACAGGTAAGTCACACCTGGTGAGGCCGAGCCCACCTTGCACCCTCCTGCCGCATGGGGCCAGGGCCTCACGTGCCACCCCGTGTCCTGGCAGGAACCTCCAGCTCCGAGCACTTGGCCCATGACACACCCACAGACAGACCCCCGGTGCAGCCGCGAGGTGATCCAGGACTGCGTGGGAGCTTCTTGTGACCCAGGGCTGTGGGGAGCCTGGGCGGGGGCCGAGAAGCTGCGGCCGCACTGGAAGGCCAGGGCAAGCATACTACAGCAGAGGCCTCATCCTCTCAGACCCATTGGGGACACTCCGGGGACCAGAGGGCCAGTCTCAGTTTGTGCCCAGAGATGCAGACAAAATAAAGATTCAAAGTTTTAATTCCCACACTGATAAAAATAATTCCATGACTTCTGTAAACCATTGCATAAATGCTATCGTGTAAAAACTTAAGTGTTAACTTTAAACAATTCACTACAAAGTAAATGATTATACATTATAAATAATACTACCTTCTTGATTAAGAAAATTCCATTCAAATAACATTCTCATCTCAATACTCGAAACAAACATCTTGGGGCTTCCATAAATTAATCCACATGAAGCGTCCACACCAAACGAAGAACTCCTGCTGACCACAGCTGCACGAATGTCGTGATGCTCTACTGTTTCCGCTAATACTTAACGTGAGGAGCTGAACGACAGCAGGCAACGAGGACAAGGTGTGACGCAACCAGTTACAGCTCCTACACCCGACTCCACTCCACCTGGCCCGTCCACCCGCCGTGGTCGCCTGGGGTCCCTCCCAGAGGCCTGGGCAGTCCTCTAGCTCTGCCACTGACCCTAACGGTGCCGTGTGCCTCGGGAGTTCCCCTCCTGGGCAGTTCTTTGGTCTTCCCACCACACACCTGTCCTCACCTGAGAGGAGCGTGTGCACAGGGACGCCTGTGCCACCCCCGTCTCCCAGCCACCGCCACCCCCAGAATGTGTCCTGGAGACACACTCGGAGACCAGCCAGATCCACAAAGAACTGACCAGAGTAGCTTATAGACAGACCTAAAGCTTAATTGTCCTTAATTATTTATAATTTGAAAATGTCTAGGCTAGATATCAATAATAAACATCGGCCTGTTATCCCAACAAAGACCAAAGGCTTGGACTGGGAAACAAGTGCATAAATAATAAAAATAACTTTAAACAGTGATAACAGTAGCACAAAATATATGTCATTTCTAGGTATTGAGCTAATAAATCATCATCACTATAATTAAAAACAATAGAGTCACTAAAACCAAGTCGATAGTTACCTTTAGTAGTGGACTAGTGGCAGACTGTCACGGGTCCACTTCCTTCAAAACGATAAAACTTTTCTATCAGTTTGTTTTACATTAAAAAGTGTTTCCTAAAACTCCTAGTATATTAAATACATTCTAATTTGGTCACTGATAAAAATTTTTACCTAGTCACTTTGCACTTTAAAAAATGCTATTAAAAGTCTTTGGCAAAGCCACGGGCCAGCAGGAGCGAGTCGCTGTCCCTTCCAGGCCAGGGGGCTGGAGCCTGCCGACCCGCCTCGCAGAGCGCCCAGCCTGGGCAGGCCACGGACAGCCGCCCCTCCCCAGGGCTCCAGGGAAGGTCCCGCTCCTGACCAGAGGAGGCTCACATCGCCGCATGAGACACGTCCTCAGGAGCGTTTCCGCTGCAGGCAGAGCTTGGGTGGACGACAGAGGGACCCTGGCCACTCCCCTCCTCCAAGCCCCTGAGGCCGGGCCACCTGGTCCTGTCCCGAGTCCGTCACATGGATGAGCTGTGAGAGCAACTCGACATACGGATCAGGCGACGGTGTCGGCTCAAACCACCACCCTGGGCTGCAGGACGCGCCCTCGGAGCCCCTCGCACGGCAGCGGCCCCCCACGCTAGACCGCCGCGCCCGGGCGAGCTGGAGTCACAGAGCACCGTCGCCATCACTGCCTAAGTAACTAGTCTGAAGACGCTCCTCAGGAATGTTAGAAACCTCTACATCTGATCCCTTGTCTGCGTTTTTCATGCATATCAGCTTGTCTTTCCGGTTTCAGGGATAAAATAAAACCGCCGATTTGTCCTTTCACTTCTCTCGCAAGGCACAGGCACTTAGAGAAAGTGGCCGCGGATCACAGGCGCGTGACTGCACTCGGCGTCGCCCTGGGAGACTGGAATACGGACTCCAGCCCCACGTGCAGTGCACACGTTGAGGAGAGTTAGTTCCTTTCATAAAATTAGAAACATCTAAATGTATATGTGTCTTTCAATAATCACTCTCTGCTTATAAATACTATTTGTTTGCACTTAATTTGAAAACAGTAAAAATCCTAGGTCTCGTTACTAGATAAATGCTCATTTCGTAAGTGCTAGTCTCAGATACGAGATCTAATACATTTACCATACCTTGAGTGATGGGCCGACATGAAGGATTAGGTTCACACACATAAAGCTCCGTATCATCGCATATTAAAAACACGGACCGAGAAAGCAGCTCAGAGCAACTGGCAACATCTAACTAAGCCTCTCGCTTACAAAGTGCTTTGACGCAGTGGCCCCGTCACAGCAGTGCAGGGGCCACCCAGGCTGCCAAGGCGACAGTGCTCTGCGGACAGGCGGGTGGGGCCGCAGGTTTGCCGTCAAGGTTTTCGAGGAGAATTACCTTGAAACAGCGTGACAGGGCTGGTGGAAACACCACGCAGGGTGCAGAGGCCCCGGGATTGAGTGACGACGTGGCCATGTGCACAGGGACCACTGGAGCTCCAAGCCCAGTGCCGTGTCCCCCAGCGCCAGTCACCAGGGCAGGGGCTGGCCCTCGCAGTAGGGGCACTCGGGCGCGCTGGCCGCGCAGGGCTCGCAGAGCACGCGGTGCTGGCAGGGCTGCAAGACAGCGCCGCGGGGCTGCTCCCGGCAGGCCACGCACTGCTTGGCGTGCAGCTGGAAGATCACCTGTGGGCAGATACACCGAGGCAGGGGTCAGCAGCCACCCCCAGGGCAGGCCACCCTTGGGCCAGCACTGAGGCTGCCGGCCGAGGGCAGAGGAGAGCCCGGTGGGCCTCGGGAGCATCTCGGGAAGCCACTGCCGGCCACGATGAAAGGAGCGAGTGCCCTTGTGAAGTGCCCAGGCGTGGCCGTGGCCATGTGACCATGGTTCCTGCTGCACCCCGAGGGAAGGGACAGGGCGGCCTCCTCCCCAGGGTAAGAGGGCTCAGGAAGACGGCAAATGTTGAAGATTCTGGAAAGGAGGGACAGGGGCCAGCCTGCCCTGGGAGGAGCACACAGTCCCAGGGAGATGGGCAGAGAGGGCTGCTGGCCCTTCACACGTGCCCGGAACAGACCGCTGAGGGCAGCCTGGGGCGCAGGGTGAGGGTGGGGAGGGCAGGACATGCCACCAAGTGGGAGCCGGGCCCCCCCCTCCGGGAGACAGCAGCCCTCAGGGCTGGTCCCTCGGGCCGCCCTCGGCAGGACTCACCCCGTCCACGGCTTCCAAGTCCAAGCGCAGCTGGCTCTGCAGGGAGTGCAGCTCTGGCAGGGGGAGGGCGCCGATGTCGCCGAAGCCGCGCAGGCCGGGCAGCGAGGACAGGCCCAGGCCCTCGAGCTCCTCCTGCAGCTGCCGCACCTGGGCTTCCACCTCCTCCTTCCTCCGCAGCGCCAGCTGCCGGTCGCTGTCCGCCAGGCGGGCGCGCTCCTTGGCCTCCTGAGCCTCCCGCTGCCACGCGTCGCAGGCCTGGAACCCAGGGCCACGCGGCAGATGGTGGCCGGGGTCCCCCAGAGCCCGGCACCCCCACCCCGCCCGCCCATCCTCCGAGCTCCCCCTCACCTGCTTCACCTGCCGCCAGGACTCCTCCCACTGCCGGATCTTCCTCTTGGCCTCGTCCAGCTGCCGCCGGACGCGGGCCAGCTCTGCACCGTTGGGACTTGCGCTCAAGGACGTGGGGCCGGTGTTCAGGACGGGGGACGGGCTGGGAGAGAAGCTGCCGGAAACAAAGTCCCAGATGCTCCCAGGGACTCCATTCAGACCTGGGTGTGGAGGAGGGGATGACACAGCCCAGCCACGCCCCGTGTGGCCCCCACACACCCTGACTGCAGAGGATGCATGCGGGCTCCTGGACAGTGGCACCTGCCCCGTCCCCACCGGCCCGCCCCTCCCTGTCCTAAGGCCTGTGTGAGCCACCTGCAGCCACAGGCCAGCACCGCGTGTCGGGAGCCCGTCACACACAGACCCTCGGGGACCCCAAAAGGCTTTGCTCACGAGTGTGACACCTGCTGACACATACGGGGTGCCAGCACTGACCTCTGAGCATCTGGGATGCTAAGAAACGTTAACTCTTCAAAACACAACAGACTATACGAGAAAACATTTTCTTTTATTTTTTTGAGACAAGACTCTTGCTCTGTCGCCTGCACTGGAGTGCCGTGGTGTCAGCCTAAACTAAACCTCAGACTCCTGGGCTCGAGCGATCCTCCTGCCTCAGCCTCCCGAGTAGCTGGGACTACAGGCACCACCACACTGGGCTAATTTTTCTATTTTTAGTAGAGATGGGGTCTCACTCTTGCTCATGCTGGTCTCAAACTCCTGAGCTCAAGGGATCCTCCTGCCTCAGCCTCCCAGAGTGCTGGGATTACAGGCCTGAGCCACCGCGCCCGGCCAGAGGATAACATTTGCTTTTTCCTTTTTTTCCCCTAGGAGACCAGTACGGTGATGACAACATTTTTTAAGGGAAAGATGTGAACACGGGGCAGTTTCCTGCTGATGATCAGGCACACGGCCCACGCACCGCGCCTGCCAGGAGCTCAAGGCCTCCTCGACCCCCGCACCCAGGGTGGGCCGCCCCGCACTCACCTAAGGAGCTGTAGGAGGAGGCGGAGGAGCCCAGTGCGCCCGGCTCTGAGCGGAGGGGTGGCGGCTGCTGGGGGGGCGTCATGGCCGTGGAGACCGGTGGCCCCGGCAGGGACTGGGCCAGCGAGCTGAGCGGCGAGGTGGACAGGGAGGACGAGGAGTGCAGGGACGGCGAGCGGGCCAGCGAGCCCGGGATGGCGACGGGCGCCGAGCCCGCCAGTGACCTCGGGCCTGTGTGGGCGGGAGGCTGGTGAGCGGGCGCCAGGCTGCTTCCCCAACATGCCCCAAGCCGAGGAGCAGCAGCCGCAGAAGAGGAACCTGGGGTGCTGGGGGAACCGGGGGCGGGGTGGGCGTGTGGAGGGGGCCGGGCCTGGGCCGGCAGCTGCCCTGACCTCGGGGGTGTGGCTGGTGGGGCCCCGGCGCCGCGCCCCGTACTGCTCAGCCGCTGGCACGTGCTCCCCACGCTTCAGAGCCCCAAAATGGTCCATTTACTTTGTTGTTTTTAACACAGAGTCTCGCTCTGTTGCCCAGGCTAGAGTGAGTGCCGTGGCGTCAGCCTCGCTCACGGCAACCTCAGACTCCTGGGCTCAGACGATCCTCCTGCCTCAGTCTCCCGAGTGCTGGACTCAGCATGTGCCACCATGCCGCTGATATTTCTATATATTTACTTGGCAATTAATTTGTTTCTATTTAGTAGAGTGGAGTCTCACTCTTGCTCAGGCTGGTTTTGAACTCCTGACCTTGAGCGATCCTCCCTCCTCGGCCTCCCAGAGTGCTAGGATGACAGGCGTGAGAGCCACCGTGCGGCCCAGTCCATTTACTTCAAATCAGCAAGAAAAGATGATTTTCAGGGTTAAAGGGAACGATACAGCACGTGGCATTAACCCACCATCTGTACGAGCGTGGTGGTTGAAACTCAGGTTCTGCACCCCTCAATGCCGTCTCTCACTAGGGGCAGCGCATCTCCGATGGAGACCAAGGAAGAGTGGGGTGCCCTGCACAGAGACGGGGGACCTCCCACCCAAGACCCCCAGCGCTGAGGAGGAGCGCGCAGGCCTTCTGCACCCTACCTGCTGCCCGAGGTCACGTGGGTCACGCTCCTTAGGTCCTCTCCAGGGACGTGATGTTCACATTGCTGAGATGAGGTCCAGCGCAGAAACGCGGAACAGCTCAGCTCAGGGCGGCCCGTCGCCCCAGCACGACAGAGCCAGAAGTGCCAGAGGTGCTGGGGGCTGCAAACGAAGCCCCCCTGCCGGCCTCCTGCGTCAGAGAGGCAGTTCTTCCCCAGAACAGAGGTGTCCAGGCACACCCCACCCCAGCACACAGCTCTGGTATCAAATTTGACCAAGTCGGCGGCCGGGCGCGGTGGCTCACCCTGTAATCTAGCACTCTGGGAGCCGAGGCAGGAGCTCACCAAGGTCAGGAGTTCAAAACAGCCTGAGCAAGACGAGACCCCATCTCTGCTATAATAGAAAGAAATTAATTGGCCAACTAAAAACATATAGAAAAAATTACTGGCATGGTGGGCATGCCGTACTCCAGCTACTCGGGAGGCTAGGCAGGAGATCGCTTGAGCCAGGAGTTGGAGGCTATAGAGAGCTGTGATGACGCCACTGCCTCCAGCTGGGGTGACAGAGCAAGACCCTGTTCAAAGACAAAAGTTTGACCAAGGGGCATACTTGACCATAAAAAAACTTTTCCAGGAGGGTGACTTGATCAGTAAGTGGGTGCACAGGCAATTTTATGCCGAGCACCAGGATGAAGATTCCTCAATCCAGAACAGGACACAAGGCCACATGCTGGGGCGGAACCTCGCAGCACAGACGCCGCCCCGGCCGAGACGCAGCTGATGGGTTGACCCCGCCGCCGGGCACCGAGTAGGTCTTGCCCTCTGGCCTCCAAGCCAGCCCAGCCCCACAGCAGGGACCTCGGTGTGGCCCATGAGGCTCCTGGACCTCAGCCCCCCCAGAACGGGCCCAGCCTGCAGGCAAGCGAGCACCTGGAACAGCTGGAGAAGACGAGAGCAAGTGCATGGGGCGGGAAGCTTTGCAGGCGGGGACGGCTGTCGCAGGAGAGCCAGGCCAGGGACAGAGATAACAGAGCCACAGAAGGACGGCCGGGCGTGCTTGCTTCAGCGCTGAGTGAGCGGTCCTGGTGGGTCCGTCCCGCCGCACGCGGCTCCTGCAGGGACAGACGTGGCGGAGCGAGTCCTGGTTCAGCCCCGGAGTGGGCCAGCCGCCCGTCCTTTCCAGCCAGGGCCCGAGGACCGCAGCTCGCTCGGCTGGGAACCACGAGCAACGTGGGAGCATGCCTCACCCCATGCTGGCGCAGGGCGGCCCCACCTGAACGGGCCGTGCAGTTCTGACAGCCCCTGCCCGGCATGACTCCCAGACCCCCCAGCCTCATATTCTCTGGAGGAACTCAGGGCTCGGGGTGTGAGCGCCCTGGACAACGGTCCTCCCCGCTGGCACCACGGGCTGTGGGCAGGGCAGGTGCGGGAGGACGCAGCGGTGCCGATCTGGCTGGCCACGGAGGGAGGCCAGCCCCCCACGGGACCACTCAAATGAGCTCTGAAGAAGCCCAAGGTTCATCC